AATCCGATCCCACGTGACTGGATTTCGTCTATGAAGCCTGCCATAAGGTAAAAGACTGGCTAAATGCGCCCACCGTTAGGAAGCAGATTAACTATGCCTCGCCTTTCGAAATCAGGGACTTAATCAAGAAGCTAAAAATGCGGAAAGCACCTGGGTAGGACGCTATAAGCAGCGTCGCTATCAACAAAATGCCTATGAATGTAGTCACGAAGATTACTAGCGTCATAAATGCATCCTTCAGTATTAGTTAATTCCCCAATGCCTAACAGCAAGCAAAAGTTATATTGTTGGAAAGATGCTGCCAGGCCTGAGGGCCTGCTTTCGGGTCTGGGGAAAATTTTATGAACGATTCATTCTGAACAGGCTTAGGCCCTTCCTTGACGTCCTACCGTCAGCACAATACGGATTCCGGAGTAACTTATCCACCAACAAACAACTTATTCGACTTTTGGGTTTTTGTGGAAACGCTTTGCACCGTAGGAAGAATATTGCCATCCTCATGGTGGACGTAGCGAAAACCTTTGACCGCGTCTGGCATGAGGGGCTTAGTTAGAAGCTGATAAACTTTAACATTGACACAGAGATTATTTAACTTATTGTATCTTTGATTAACAATCGAAGTTTCGTGGTCTCCATTGGAAAGGATACTACTAATATACGAAAAATTAATGCTGGGGTTTCCCAGTGGTCCATTTTAGAACCCATTTTGTAACTTCTATATGTTACTAATTTTCCCCGGACACACCTGAACCGAAATAACTTCTTAGGCTGTTATGCGGACGACACAACTCTAGTTGAGACGTCTGCTAACGCCAACCACGCAGTAAAGAAACTACAAGACATTATGCCAGAAATTGAAATTTGGTGTACCCAGTGGAGAATTTCAATCAATGCCCAAAAATCCCAGTTGCTCATAGAAGGAAACATACTCAGACCCAGCTCAAGAGAAAACTATACTTGTTCAACGAAGTGATCCCACAAGTGTCAAATGCATGACATTTTAGCGACACAGCAAACGAAAAATTCGGGCAAATAAATGGAATTGATATGTAAACATTTTCGTGCGATTATGTTTGATAACTTTCGACGTGGATGATCAAGACAAGAGTGCTCGATGAACTTACTTCTTTATACAGCGATAAAGCACCATTTTACAGCACTATAAAAAACAGAAAATTGGTATAATGGATTGCAATCGTGGTCGACGTTCGCTCCAGGTCGAATTCCGTGAAGGCCGTCTAAAATCGGTTGTTATGCCAGAAAATATCGATGCTGTACGTGAACTGATAAAGCAAGATCGTCATCTGACATACCGTGAGATTGAAGCATCTTTTGGACATTTGTATGACAAGCCTTAATAAGATATTACGTAACCATTTGGAGGTAAAAACGATTTGACGCGTTAGATCCTGCATAATCTGAAAAATGCTCAAAAGAAGGCTCGTGTCGATTGGTACAAGAAAATATTGGAAAAAATACATTTAAGGTGCATCAAAGGCTGTGTATAACATCTACACAGGTGACGAATAATGGATGTATGTAATATGAGCCGGAAACAAAACAGCAGGTGACTGTATGAATCTCCCAAGACGAGCCAAATTCAACAAAAAGTAGGAAGAAGCACATCAAAGTAAATGTTTGCCTGTTTCTCCGACATTACAGGTCACGTGGTGTTACAGCAATGTAGAATAGTCAATTCCGAATTGGTATGGGCCAAAGCATCGAATTGACGGGTCATTCATCGTACGTATATAAGCACTCTGTACCGCGCCACACGCATAGGGCAAAATCCATCCCCGTGATTTGATACGGCTTCTGATGACATCATTTTCTCTACGCTTAGGAATGCCTTTGCTTGTGCTCGAAAATACACCTCCATACTGTTTATTTATATTTTGATAGCAGTACCGAAAAGATTATTATCGTTAATGATGTGCGCTGAATTTTTGTTGCGGATTACTCTTACTACGGCATTGTAGTATGATGAATTTAATATAAAAAATGTAGCTCTTTTTATTTCATAGAGACGAAAATCAGTATTTCTTCTAGTGCGCTAACTCCGTAAATGCGTATTAATATTATGTTCAAAGGTTTTTAATAAATGTATTCTTAATTTAAAAGCCTTCATATTAAAGGTTTTGTGATTATTAGGTAATTCATTGTTTTATGTTCATTAAATATTATTACTTTACAGATGCAATCTCCGAAAACAAGACAAGTCAGTTTTCGCAAACAGCAAAACGTTAGGGGCTAACTTCATACACAGTAAATTCACGATATTTGTAGTCAGTCTGAAAAAGTAAAATTTATTTTTAAGGTTAGACTACTATAGATTTGGAACACAGAAATAGAGATAACTATGTATAAATTGAATATTTCCCATAAATATGTGCTTTATAAATATTGCCCAGTTTTTAATGTGTAGTATCTTTTGTGCCTTTGTATAAAAATAGTGTTTATCAAAGAAGAAAGTTTCTTATGCACGTGTATTCCGTGAATATACTGAATGCGCTTTTTTCTTTCATTTAAGGCAACAGAATATTAGAAGTGTGGAAGACATAGAAATAACATATACAGTTGCAAAGGAAATATTTTCTGCAATGTGAAAAAGAACAAAATTTCAATAATAATATACTTACCAACATATATGCCTTTACATATGAGTCGAGATCGTAGCGTAATCTAATGTGTTTTGTTTATTGCACTAAATTTATTAACTCAGTTATTTATATAATCTAAGCATTTGAGACTGTTTCTGATGTATTAACAGCATCTTTGAAGGATTTTATAATTTCATAAACATGATGCCATCTGCAGAAGGCTGCATGTCAGTTTTTACGTCTGGCATTATTATTCAAAGAATGCAAATGATAATGTTCATGTTTCCGTATCACTCATGTGCGTCATTCTACAAATAAAAAACTGTAAGAATTCCACCTAAACGTCATTACACAAAGATAAAATGATGTCATCGGAAAGTATATCCAATCACAAGTACAGATTTTGCCCTATGTGCCGCGCGGTACAGAATGCTTATATACCCACTATACAGCCTTGATTTGGCACCTGATAACTTTAATTCCCGCACATCAAAAATAAATTACGTGGCCAGCCATTTGCGACACCCGAAGAAGTGGTTGACGCATTCAAAACGCATGTTTTGGAGTTACCTCAATCGGAGTGTTTAAATTGGTTGGAACGCATGCAAAAGTGTCTTGTTTTTTTATGATTAGGCAAGAAATATAAATAGCAACCCTCGTATAAAAGCCAGTGTAATAAAATTTTCTATAGATCGCGCTTGACGAATATTCTAAACATGAAAACTTCTAGCGAATTTCATACGCAGTCTCTTCTCCCATAAAAGGATTACCTGCGCGTTCTTTAATATCTACTTTACAGGGCGATTTCTAGGTATTATATTTTGATACTTTTCACTGGTATGGAACAACAAACCTCTTTCGTTCCAGCCTGTCAAGCGATTTTGGTTTAAAATGTGCTTTTAAACGGGCACCTTTTCTCTTCTTCCGTAGCAACTTTCCTTCGGACATACTCGAATATATGCATTTATAAAGCATTCAAATTGATTAAAAATATTTAGAAAAAAATGTAATTAATAGCTACTTTTACTTTAGCGTAAGGTAAAAAATACATTTTGATGATTCCTAGATTTTTGGTCAGTTGACAGTACTTCCAGTGCAATATACCTGAAACACCCTTCTCTTTATCAAAATTAACTTTGGCTTTATTCTCTAAAAGCAAAATGACAGCATTCATGTATACAACAGGCTGTCGTCAAAGAAATGGTGTTTAGTGGAGGCTAATTAATGCACCGCTGATTCATATTCAAATCCAGGATGAGGCACAGTCATTTTTTACTTTAGTATCTTTGGAGCTTAAATTTTGACAAATCGAAAATTATTTCGAGAGTAATAGTAAGCGAAGAAAGGATGTAACATACTTGAATTCTATTCCGCATGATGTTTTAATTAAAAATATTCACCTTATGTGTTTGGAAAATATTAATCTAATAAATTCATTAATGACAATGCTGATAATCTGCCCTTCACAATATTCTTAGTATTGTTTTAGCTGTAAATAAATCGTATGCATTCCAAGTTATTGTAACTTTGTGTTTTGTTAAAACTTTTCTAATACCTAGACGCACTAGTAGACATGCATCAGTATGTTTGTACTTGTATTTATGGTATGCATCAGAAGATCAAGTGGACTTCTTTATTTGCAAACTGCATTCACTTTAATCTTTTTGATTCTTTTTTCTTGGTTCTAAATCCTCTATCCAGATATTTCTTTTATACCTCCGGCAATATTACTGAAGCTACAAGCAATATTTTGTTCCTTTCAAATATAGTCATTAATATTATGGATATTATTATTTTGCCGCTTTTCAGTATTCTAGCTTCAAATCCCTCCAGGAAATGCCTTTGTCGGGAGCTGCGTTGCAGAACTATTTCCGTCGGAGGCACAAAGAATGTCACAAATTAGAATTGGGATAGAGCTCTGCAATCTCGGACTTGAGTTGTTAATCTATGAATATAGGTGCAATATCTGATTTACTTACTGCACAAAAGCATTTTTAAAATCAATGAACTAATGGGAGGATCATTTATATACCGAAGGAAAGAAATAATTTTTGTATTTACTTTTGTTTTGCAACTCAAGAGGAAATGCTCTAAGCAGTTTGCTCACAGGATAGCTGCCTTTCGGCATTTTTATTAATTTTTGCTTGCATCTTTCAAAAGCCAAGAAAACTTCAAACATGAAAATGAAATTTCGGCAAATACTAAAAATTAAGGCAAAACTTGAGCTAACTTGATGCTTCTTCTAAAATTATGCTAAAACTAGACAGACATAAGCTCCCTCTCATTAAACAAAATTATTCTGGCAAAATACTTTTGCTCTATTTAGAGGAAGCCCACACCTGCCTCCAATATTTTTGCTGAAAAAAATTTTATGAACTTAAACAACAAACTGAAGACAAATTTCGAATGTAATCATTTATTTGAATACAAACTAATCTTTACAAAAGTAAATATCTGCATGAAAAATTTTTAAACCATAGGAAATATTGATATGAGAAGTGACTGACACATGTTACAATGCTGACGAAGCAATGTATATAACACGGACTTAAACGCAAGTGATTAAACTTTTTTCTGACATTTTCCAAAAGAAACCTTTAAACTTGTTTTACACAATGACAAAGAGATATTATGCATGTTAAAATAAATGTAAAGCTACCTACAATTTAACAGTTCTGTGACCAAAATTAACATATTACTTGTACTTTCGGCTGCCATTTTAAAAAAAAAGTTATAAATTTTTAAAAAAGAACTGATTGATGCCTTTACACTTAAAGATGAAAAGTTGTACATAAAATATTCTCAGTGTTTAGGCTCGTTCACCACGGATTCGTCGAGCCAGCTGGATGTCTTTAGGCATGATGGTTACACGTTTAGCGTGGATAGCGCACAGATTTGTGTCTTCAAACAGTCCGACCAAATATGCTTCACTCGCTTCCTAAAATAGAATGAGAATTATTAAGATGCGGTACAAGTAGTTACAAACAAGTAAACTGTCATGGAATCCAAATTTAATTTGTAAATAAACTTAAAAACCAAAAACTGGCAGATCATCTACTTCACTTAGTTACTACAATTAACTATTACACGTACTAAATCTTTTATAAAGAACTTTCAAGAAATTACAGTTCTGACAAAATATACATGTCTACCAATGAATAAGTGGATAACACTGTTTAACGTCGATATAAAGCATTGGTCTCATATGTAACATGCATTTTCTCCATAAGTAACATAAGTGAAGCCATTTTCGCTTAAAAAATGCTCCACAAAAGCTTGTGCATGTTCTCCCTTAATTGATTAAATATAAACCATAAGCTGGCTTGAAGTAAAGTTGTGCATTAAGTTTTTGGTTATATCATATTAATAAGATTAAAAGAGTGAAAATTAGCGGCTAACAAACTCACTTGCAAAGCTCCAACAGCAGCACTTTGAAAACGGAGGTCAGTTTTGAAGTCTTGGGCTATTTCTCTGACTAGTCTCTGGAATGGTAATTTTCTGATCAACAATTCAGTTGACTTCTGGTAACGACGGATCTCACGCAGAGCTACAGTTCCGGGCCTGTATCTGTGAGGCTTCTTCACACCACCAGTAGATGGTGCACTTTTTCTTGCAGCTTTCGTGGCTAGCTGCTTACGAGGTGCTTTTCCTCCAGTAGATTTACGAGCAGTCTGTTTAGTACGAGCCATTTCAATATCACTTTACCTAAAGTAGAAATTCAGAAATCAGTATTGAACTATGTACTTCAAATTAAAATATTCTACTAACAAAATTCAATTTTCTTAATTGTTTTTAAAACATATTTACTGCTACTAATTATCTAACGTCTTTCAAAAAATTCAAAATATTGCTGAGACTAAGCCACAGCAAATTTTTAAAATGTGTATTATTATGGGTACTGCTTGATTTTCACGGCCTTGGCGATAAACCACAAAATCATATAAAAAGGGTAATTTGACGAACCGCGTGATATCGTCAAGCCTTTTTTGAATTTAAACAATGTAAAAATCTTGTTCAGTTGCCAAATCGGGAAAAAAGTACACTGATATCTATGACTGTCGTAAAAAAATACGCCATAAACTTTCTATATAAATTGATACTCAAATCAATTTTATACTGTCACTAAGTTTTAAGTTCACTTCAGAAATGATAATAAAGAGCTTCGTTTTCAAACACGGCACTCACGTAAAAAAAAAAAAAAAAACATATTGCAAAGACTGCACATAACACCAGAATTTCTCTCGCCAGTATAACCGCAGAGTGTCGCTCCAGTAACAGGTCTTGTACACTTCAAGGTAAAGGTGAGTTTGGTGAAAGATATTATGAGTCCAAAAGGTCAATTTGCCCTGAAGGACTATTAATTTCGTTTTGGCATTTTGCGTTGAAACTATAAACACCGAATCACTTTTCAAATTGTTCCACCAGACATTACGCCCTGTATTACATTTAAAGAAATGAACAATCTGCGTGAATGTATGTTTCTCGCATTGTGATAAAAGAACGGTACCTAGAGCCATCGAAATTTGTTTAACGTAATCTTCAATAGAATTTGCGCATGGCGAAGCCTTAATTTGAAATTTGTTTTATTATCCATTTCTATTTTGTACACTTCAACGAATTTTTGATTAAAAAAAACGATTTCAAAGCGAGCAATTACAACACTGTACGGGATTTCTTTTCTTTTCTTTCTTTTTTTTTTTTTTCCCTCCAGCGCGCGACTCTGTATCGGAAATTCTAAAGATATGCTCATTTTAAAATTATTTTGTGATAATTGCTGAACTGAATTTTACGTTTGAGTACGTAGAACATGATATTTAATAAATAATGGTAATACACAAAATTAAAAAACGCCTCTTTGGACGTAATTTAAAATGTGAACCCTTCCAGATTTAATTTTATTTTAAGTTATATAATTGCAACTAAAAAAAGAGGCGCCCAGCCAAATGCTTATGTAAAGAAAGGTCCCATAGACGTAATGTAAACAAGTTTGCTATTACGCCGCTAGAAACCGGAGGGAAAATTCGGTTCTTTGAGAAAACGTTACTTCTTTGACTTTTGCGATAACTTTCGGATTTTCGTACTTTTTTTTTTATCAAAATAACTAATTCATTACTTAATTTACTTGCGCGAAAAAATATTTTCGTTTCCTTTAAAGTTTAAAACGATATGTTTTATGAAATCTTGATAAACGTGATCTTCGAACTTCGAGGACAAATATTTCGCACATGCGCAGCTGTTTCCCTCTACGTTGGAATGGAGCTACTCCACTGTTGCGGAGAAGTTTTCCTTCTTAATACATATTCTTTGGTACAGCTACATATTATAGCAGTCCCATGTACAAAATTTCAATGGCTACTCGTTTTTGAATTATGCAACATATATTAATACGCACGTGTACGTAGGTACAGACGTCACAAATAAAATCCCTTTTGTGAAAAATGGTCTTATTCTGTCCGTACATACAAATGTCCCTCAAAAATATATTTCAAATTAATTTCAGAGCGCTCAAAATAGACACTTTCGTTGAAATGATACACGAAATTTTTCGCCATTACAATACCTCCTTTACATATGATATATTTTTGCATTATGCAGCCAAGTGACTTCTCTGAAATGACAAATCTGAAGTTAAAATCGCACTATTAAACTAGTTATAACATGGTTTAATGCAAAACATATTACATTTAACATAAAATAAGGCTTTAAATATTAAGCTGTGGTTTAGGGGTAATTTTTTCAATTCAAGTAGTTAAATTTCGTTCATCAAAATTGTTTCACCACAACAGCATAAAATTGCTAATTTCATTTACGAGGAAATTTTGAATTATGTCCAATTTATGTTCCTCATAATTTCTATAAATTTCTTGAAGCCATTAACAGTTTACTCTTTAAAAACGTTAGGGAACCTGAAAGAGACCTAACTAAATTTAAAAATCAACTTGCTGTAACAGAACCATGATTTATGCCGAACTGGCTTTGAGTCCTACACATTCCGGAACTACTCTGATATGCGCCCTCAAGTCGCCAAATATTTTTGGCGAGAAACTTCTGCCATATTACTATATAAATTGTCTACATTTCGAACTTTTAGCCTAAAATGTCTCCAAAAACGTGGTTTTCGCACTTGCAAAAACTACGTTTTGAACACACAATTTAGCTAAAAATCCGAAACAAAAACAAAAAATTTAGATAGCAAAAACGTAAAGTTTCTAACCAAAAATATTTGACAAGAATCCATGTACACAGCGACATGTTTTAACTTAAAAAAACATCTACGAGTGGCACAATGTAGGCAACGAACAAATCTACAAACTACGCACACCTCGCTTTAATAAATTAACATAACAACAATAAATTTCAAAGAATACCATGTACACAGCATCCTGTTTAAACTTTAAAAAAAATCTACGAATTGCACAATTTAGGCAAGGAAGGAATCTACGATCTACGCACTCCTCGCTTTAATAAAATAACATAACAATAAATTTCAAATAATACCATGTGCACAGCGTTCTGTTTAAACTTTAAAAAACATCTACGAAGTTGCACAGTCTAGACACTAAACAACAAAATGAACTAAAATAAATTTCAAACAATTTAAAAAAACAACTATAATGACAAATTCATACTAAAGAACCAATGAACATAACATTCTACAAAATAAGAACAAGGATAAAATAAAATGCACTTACTATGAATTAATGCGTTTTCGAATAGCAGAAACAATTTCATACCGCCTTTAACATGCCACCACGTAATCGCTATCGTATTTACATAACAGCCAGACACACTATCCAGAAAATTTATACTATGGTTCACAAATAAATAAAATCGCAAATCCCTACTTCTATCATGCACTGCCATTAATAATCTCCCAGACCCTCTTTCCACACTTCCAAACACCCACTACCCCTCAACAGTATAGCCACAATGATATTTCCTTTTGCCGAACTTCAACAACTACCTTTTATTTTTCCCTTCCATCTTCTCAGACAGAGGCGAATCAACGAGCTCCAGCGAAAGATTTTTCAACGTCAACAGGGTTGCCATAGAACACGCAATCGCGCCAAAAACCGGAGCAGAACACATATCGCCACATTTGGTGAAATTAGGGCGTATATTAGAGTCGTACCCACATTCTTTCCCTGCGTCAATTTCATTACAAACACACAAAACCATCTTTCACTTTTAGCCTTAAATGCCATTTAAGAATTGCCCTTCTCATATAATTGCTTCTTAATTAACCCGGCTTTCTTTAAAAAATTCCGAAACATCTGCTTATCCTCTTACAAATTAAGATAAACTTATTCACTATCCCACATTTTCCCGAAAGGATCTTACCTTTCGAAAAGAAACTGTAATATATTCGCTAATACTTACTCAAACTTTCCTATTACTCTCAAAACAGAAGGTAGAGTAAAATACAGTTCGTGTAATCCAAATTTATGAACAATAAAAAGCAAGCAATGCAATCGCCTTAAATCCACCGAAGAAAATGGCGTCCTTCAGTTTAAAACAGGTTGTACTGAAGCAGGGTTGCCCAAATGAAATATCAGAACCTTAGCGAATACTAGACACATAACAGCTTGAAATATGTACCAAATTTAAAATCGTCAATGGAGTCCTATATTTAAACTGTATCAAAAGCTGTTTTTACAAAATTAATAAAATATTTACTTTGTCCGATTTCTTTTTTGAATGTGCAGTAATATAAATGGAAAGCTGCTAAATTATAAAAAAGTAGATTGAATATTTTAAAGAAGAAAATTTGGAAGGATTGAAATTTAAAAGTTGGCCAAAGGAATTCTGAAAGTTTAAAATGCTTAATCAGTAGAGATGACCTAGGTGGAACAGAGAAACCTTTTCTAGTATACTAGACGAATATGGGAACGTTGTAGATCATCTGTGTATTTAAAACTGAGAAAATGAGCTCAATTATATAAAATATTTAATGTTTTTAATTAGACTGATCATTAATTAAAATTTTATTTTTATCTAAATCAATGAAATTTAACTTGAAAAATAAATATTTTACATTTTACCGAACGGCAACACTCTATTGAAAAGTGAAACAACGAATTTACAATGGACAATATTTAAAGTGAATCAATTCAACATAGTGGTTCGAGACTAAGATTCCTTTGGAAAGAGGTAATAAATATACCTTCACAATTACAGTCTACATGCCTAATACAGAACTGCATTATTAGTTAAGAAAATGCATGGCACGTTTGCTCTTGAGCCCTGAAAATCCAGAAAAGATACCACTAAATCAAAGCTGAAACTGGACGTCTTTTGGAATATATTGCCGTTAATCAGATTAACACACTGAAATTCTTTTAATATGAATCGAAATTTACCATCGTATTTGTCTTGATTCAAAATACGAAAATTCTTGCAGTTGTAAAATTACCATAAAAATTTCTGTTAATCCAAATAAAATTGGTATTTGTTAAATCGGCAATCGCGGTTACTTAAAACTGACTCACTAATCACTGTATTTCTATCATCTAACATTCACAAACGTTGGTTGACTAAGCCAAATATTGCAATGGTCATTTTGACAAAAAAAAAAAACAAAAAAAAAATACCAATAAAGCATTTAAAAGTTCATAATTATGACGCAAAATCTATATTAACTTAAATCTTTACAGCTATTTAGAAATGAATTAATTTCATCTTCCGTAACAACTGATAAATTATAAATTTGATTGCAGTCATCAGTTAATGACTAGGTTATCTTCATTTGGAGATAGCGGATAGTTTCAACGATTTTTGGCGAGTATGGTGACGTCTCCTAGTTCTAAATTGAAGCAAGTTACAATATTTCACCAAATATCGCCAAATCATACTTCGCAAAAGAAATCGACAAATACAAACAGAATGTTAGCCAAATGACTAGTACTAAGCAGAGGCTACTTTTCTAAGTTTTTGTATTCATCTACATCACATTAAATACAAGAAGACTCTTTTCGATAATATCCTAGGGTATGGCCTTGGCAAGATTTTGAAAACTGTCGCCAACATCAAAATTATGTACTCATTTACTGCTCATCATACATATTGCGTTTAGTACACATCAGAATGTCGCCAAATCTCACTAGTACTAAGCATAGATTGCCGCCGCAAAGAAACCATTGGCGCTTCCTCAGATAACCCGTTGGTGACAGTGCTTTTTTTTTTTTTTTTTTTTTTTGGCCGCCACGGTTAAGTTTTTAAAACAAAGCGCGATATAAAGTTTAATTTAGCAAACTATTTGCTGATTAAGCATATTAAGCACATGTATGTCAAATTTAGCTTCTTAAACGTAATTAGTGCAATTAAATTCACTTAGCGAAAAGCATGACATTAAGCATATGCAATAAAAAATTAGCCGGTTCTGGTTTGTAGAAAAGTATGATGTTAAGGATATGCAAGTAAAGATTAGCATAAAAGGTTAATCTTTGAATTATGATAACTTGGCGACACTTTGGCGACCAACCCTGCTACAGCAACCTCACTAAGTAAAAAAATGTTTTTTTTTACTCAACATTTTTTTCCAACAATCTGCTAGTCGAATTACTCTTATGCTAAAACTTTTATGGAACAAACGTGCTTAATCATGATGAAGATTAGGTGCGAAATTGGGAGAAAGTGCAGAATCGCCCACTGCTTGCCGCGTTTTTAAGACTTGCACATACACGGTATGTACACGTCGACCTATTTTCACTTAAAAAAACATCCAAGAATTGCACAAAAATGGCATTGCGCACACTCTGGACTTTATCCATGTACACTGCTTAAGTCCTAGCTAGTAACCTTTATCACCTTACCAAAATGTCGTCAAACTACCTGTTACCATATTTCAAAGATCAGCCGCATAAAAAAGTATAGCAAATATTAGTATCATTGAAATAAATTTCTAATTAATTATAATATTACAGAAAGGTTACCGCTGGCGGTGTTTACATTCATCAGGTTCTCAGCGGAAGGGCTTCCATATTATGTTTCTAAATTTAGTACCATGTTGCATTTTTTACAAAAAAAAAAAAAAATTTTCACGCAACAAAAATTTGCAGTCTTCAGAAAAAAATATTTTCAAACAAATAGCATGGCTTAACACATGTTTACATACTCCTGCAAGTACTATGGTAAAACAGTTTCACACACTGGATTTAAAAAAAAAAAAGTCTAAATTGAGGATATGTTAGATGTTAAAAACATTAACTAAAATTAATGGATAACCCTTCTGCTTAATTTTACCTGGTTAAAAAAAAAAAAAAAAAAAAAGCTCTAAGTTTAATCCTAGTATACGGTACACACGGTATCTGGCGATTTTGCGGATACTCTTCATTTTGGTGTTGGCGACAATTTTTCAAAAGCATGTCAAGGGCATACCATAAACTAGGATTGTCCAAAAGGGGTTTTGTAACATATCGTTTTTAAGATAACGAGAAGCCATTCTCCCTTTCAGAATTAGCAAAATACGCTGGGCCTATATAAACAAGAAATATACATGCACCTTAAATTCATCAGCATAAGGAGAAACAAATATACCTGATAGATGTACAACTAGCGAGTTTTAGCATTTGGCATTTACACAGAATAAAGGAAAATCACAGGGAAATAACATTTAGATGCATCCCAATCGGATTTCATTTAAAATTTGTGGGTTATAGTATAGGAAAATCAAAGCAATTCAACTATACTTCAAAATGGAGACGAAATTTTCTGGGTACTTTTCTGTTTCGCCGGCGCAAATCTCGCCAAGCAGACTTTATTGGCGACATCATACAGTATACACATAAAAAATATTTAAAAAATGTTAGTTCCAAGAATTCTTAAGGCATAAACATTTTAATATCGCTTAAAATTTTACAAAAAGCCAATAAATAAAGACAATAAATTTGTAAAAAGACATTAATTTAAAATTTACTATGCTTTCATGTTTTCAACATCCTGTTTCGCCGGTTCATATCACTGACCCCAAGCGATCTCATCGCACCGTAAACTACTCTACAAAAATATAATGCTCTCAGTAATTATTACATCAATTTCAAGTTAAATCTTAATTTGGAACACAAGTTTAAATGCAAGAAATACTTCAATTCGTACGAATAGCTTACTCAGAAATTATGTAAAACTGCAGTGCTTTACTTCGCTAATGCATTCTCATTAGAATTGATGAATTTAAACCCTTGACTTTACCTTTTCTATATTTTCGGCCTCGGGTAAGCGCTGTGATTGCATCCTAATTGATTTAATTACCGAAAATGGCCTTAGACATAAAACTGAACTATCTGAATGAGGCGTAAAAAGTTACCAGCGAGAATATTCGTTTGGCATCAATTGTACCATTATTGGCGACTTTATCGCTTGCGCCGGCAAAACGGAAAAGTACCTTTTTCTGTTAAGCAAATGCGCCATCAAACTGCATTTAAGCAATTTCATCTAAATTAGATTAGCAAACAAAATCGGCTTATATAGACAAGCAATATACATGCACCTTAAATTCATCAACATAAACAGATAAATATACCCGATAGATATATAACTAGGGAATTTTGGCATTTACACAGAAGAAAGAAAAAATCAGTGAAACCTCAACGCTTAGATGAATCGCATTCGGATTTCATTAAAATTTAAGAGGGGGGATAGTATCGGAAAATCAAAGCCATTGAACTATCCTTAAAAATGGTGACAAGAATGTTTCTGTTAAGCCAATGCGCCATTAAACTGCATTTAAGAAATTTTCAAGCATAAGCAAATTCACCGAAATTAGACTAGCACACAAAATCGGCTTATATAGACAAGCAATATACATGCACCTTAATTTCATCAACACAAACAGATACAAATATACCTGATAGATATATAACTAGGGAATTTTGGCATTTACACAGAATAAAGAGAACAAATCACAGTGAAATCATAACGCTTAGATGCAACACATTCGGATTTCATTAAAATTTAAGAGGAGGAATAGAATCGGAAAATCAAAGCAATTCAACTATACTTAAAAATGGAGATCTGAATTTTCCTGCTTAGCAAATACACCATAAACTACATTTAAGCAATTTTCTAGAATAAACAATTTCACCTAATAAACAGAAAGCAACGGAATATCTCTTTATAGAAGATTCATGCAAATAACATAGTTTTTAATTTCAAAAGTACTCTTAAATGTATATTTTATATACTAATTTAAGTTCGTACTTACCCTGACGACTTCTAAATCCACAACACACAACACTAGCTATGAAACACTACCGTACAAATACCACGTGCAACTCAAAAACCTTAGCACACTAACTTTGGATTGCACATTATGCTGAGTTTTCCCATTATCTATTGGTGCCACCAATTTGGCCATAACTGACCAATGAGTGACCCATTTGATAAGGAACAGATCGTTGATTGGCAAAATTAATGATATTTTTGCTGCCAACTAATAAATCAAAATTACTACAGTTAAATATAAAAAAACCTCAGCTAGAAAAACTTGGTTGGTTAGGAGAACATTAATAAATACTACTATAATACTACTAAGGCAATTTTTTCTTCTGCTTTCTTTCTCTCTATATATATTAGAGAGAGAAAAACAAATATATAAAAGAGAAGTACAGTCTCACAAAAGCAGTCTGCAAGCAACTAAACTCAGTTGTACCTCTACTTTGTGAGTTGGGATTTTGAAATGTAAATAAGAAGTAACAGGTCTTTAAATGAGGCCTTCAGTAGTAAAAAAAAAAAAAAAAAATTATGGAAATCTTTATTATATATTTCCTCTTCCAGATTAGAATTCACCACATTCTTTGCGATTTACATTCTCAGATGATAAAAACAAGGTGAAGTAGAAATTGTACACGTCACTACATGTTGTGTGAATTAAATTGATGGACCCTATGAAAATAATAATTCCAATAAATATTTTTTGGATCTCTTTGATTTGCAAGCATGTTAATACATAAAAGAAACATAAAAATATCTTAATGGTAATAATTTTTTATTGATATTTAACAACAAAGAATAAACTTTTTTTTTTTTTCCTTTAAATATGAAGGATTATGCTATATAGTTAAAGTGCTATGATTACCTAAATTTCATCAGAAACTGCAATTCTTTAGTTCCTCTTTTTCATTACCCCATCAAAAGAGGTCTAAAGCTTTCAAATGTCATCATTCGTAATTTTTCATGTAAAAAATTTTCACATAGTATAACGGATAAGATGATGTATTATCTGCAGGATAGTTAAGCAGAAGCCGGGCTCTTGGGAGAATTACTACACCGTGTATTCCGCAGAGATTTGCTTTCTCCATGCAATTTTATAACATATTGGTTATGTAACCAACAAGCTATGAGATCTCAAGCGGCTAACCGGCTCTTACCTGTTCATATGATAAATCGGCAGAGATATAATTAGTTTAATAAATGGAAAATATTATAAAGGATTGATTTTTTTTTTCTAAAGTATTAATGATTATTTTGGTGATATTTATTCTTTTAGATGAAATAAATTTGAAGAAAAGCTTTTAAGTCTGAAATTTTTGGTTACCAAATTTTAATTGCTTGATAATTTATTTTGTTAAACTATATCTAACCATATAAATTACTCTGATGTTTGAATTATTGTTATATTTAAATTCTGGCATATCAGTAAATTACTAGTTATGTCTGTCAGTTTTGAATTGTCGATATTTTTGAGGGAAGAGGGTCAATATTTAAAAATTTGAATATTGTTGATCTTTACAAAAAATAAGTAGAACTGTATTTATATTTAAATTATTCATCTTAATTGTAAAACTTTACTGTTTTAGAACTATAAAAAAAAGGCAATGGGAAATGTTGAAATGCATGAATTAGAACCGGTACGAGCTGATGAAAGAAAGGAATTGGATCTAAGTCTTCCAATTGACTATAAAACATATTGCAAGGTACTTTAAAATACTTTTTTACTATTAGAAATTATTAAACATATATTACACAGCTACCATTTCTGGCTTTGTCAATAAACATTTGATTTTTATCACATATCCCAGTAGATCACTGAATCTCCTGCTTTTTAATTTTTAGCCTTTGCTAAAGAGAATATTTCCAACAATAATTGAAATTTATTGAATTAGTGAACTTTAAATTTTGAAAATGTTTTTCCCACCTCTGCTTATTTTTTAACATAATTTTCCTTATTAAATTTGATTTAATCTGAATTATGATAATATACTGTAGACATCTGTAGAACATTTTGTAAAGATCCAAGCAAAGTGTAATCAGTTATTATTTGTGTTTAAATATGTTTATATCAATATGTGGTATGTTACTAAAATCATCAATATATTATATTAATGTACATTAATTATTATTTAATTTAATTTTTTTTTTTTTTTTTTTTTTTTTTGTTCATATTTTGTATACTTTGATATATAAAAGTTTTTCTTCCCTAATCAAGATTTTCTCTGTATGAAAAGTGTCAAAAATTACACAATAAAATTAGCCAAAGAAAATAAAATTTAAAATATCTAATTAAATATTCATATATTTTACATAAGAATTATATAAAATGTTCAGTAACCTAAATCATCCATTATAAAATTATTTAAGGTACTATTCGGTTTCAAGGGCCGTAAAAAATCGCCAAACTATTGTTGATGCCAATGCTGCCAAAAATAATTTTGGCAACCCTAATAATTGCGGCAAGAAAGGAAGTATAATAGTAAATAACTATCTAAGATTGATGTTTTAATTTAGATTAAAGGTTAATTTCATATAATACTTTTTTATTATTATAATTTATATGAAAATGGTTAAACATGACTGAATGGAAGCATAGGAGTAAATAACTATTTCAGATCATTACTATAATTTATATAAATATTGCTAAACATAACTGAATGGATGCCTGCATCGCTATTTCACTACTGACTTATCGCTAAAGTATAATTTCATCTCGTTGGTTGTTCAAACATAATTTTCTATAATGAATGATGCCTTTTCTTTGGAAATATTCTCGGTAAAGTGCAGAATCGCTCACTTATTTGTTTGCCTCTTTTTACAAGGATAAAAACAATTGGATTTTTGTCAATTTTCTTTTATTTTTTAAGTGGAAATAGGTCGATGTGTACACAGTTAAAGGTCAAGGGTGTGCGCAGTGCCATTTTTGCAATTCTGGGATTTTTTTTTTAAGTGAAAATAGGTCGATGTGCACATGGATACCGAGTATGTGCAATTCTTAAGAACGCATCAAGCAGTGTTTGATTCTGCACTTTACCCAAAATTCTATTGCCGACTTTTCGTTATGGGCAATTCTCAAATTGTTAAATCCATAGGATATCAGAAAAAAGGATTTAAAAATTAAACTAGTATTTCAATGGCATCTCAAGAAATATAGAACTATATAAACTTACGCAATCTGAAATCAGCACGTATGCTAGATTTGGCGTGCTGTTAAATGGGTGCATTTGCTAGATTTGGCGCTTTTGCATATACATTTTCGTTGCAATTTTTTTATGTCCCTCGAAACTGAATAGTAGAAAATTTAATTTAGTTTAAAGTTCTTTTGAAATGGCATTGTCACACCGCAGGAATAACTGCTGGTTTTCCATATTATGAGGGTGGAAGCTATGCAGTTATAATTAAATTTTGTTGCTTTTATTACTTACTGGCTTAACTGCATTAATAAATTTCTGCTATACTATCAAAAAGCCCTATTAATCTTTAAAATATACTACTGTTGTGATATATTGAAAAATGTTCAGCACATTACCGTGTTTTGCAAAATGAAAATATATTTGCTTAGAAAATGTCGTTACATATTTTTAGCTATGTGGTCATTACATATTTTTAACCATGCAAGAAACAATATAAAGCAATCTCAGTGCAGCTCTAATGCTAGTCTAAGGAGTTATTTTAGGGTACCTCTTGGCAATTTTTGGCAGTATGTGAAAACCGAATTTGTGCAATTTTTTTACTTATTATTTTGGCTTGCATAATGGCGATTTTTGCACCAAAAACCACTGCTACACAAAGCCAAAATAACAAGACAGAGATTGTGCAAACTCGGTATCCATGTACACATCGATCTATTTTCTCTTTAAAAAAATTCTCCGAATTGCAAAAAAATTGCATTGCGCACTCCCTTGACTTTATCCATGTACACATCGACCTATTTTCACTTAAGAAAAATCCAAGAACTGCACAAACTTGCATTGCACACTCCCTTCACTCCATGTACACATTGATATATTTTCGCTTAAAAAGTCAAAGGAGCACCCAATTCTTTAATACACGCAAACAAAAAATACATAATCTCAATAAACTACATTTTGAATCAAACAATAAAATAACATAAAAAAGGAAAAACATGTTATACATTTAAGCACTACAAAAAGCAAATATCCATTTACCCTATTTAGAAGTTCCTTCGTCTTTAGTCTGTGGCACACAAAATTCCTTAACAGCATAACAAAAACTTCCTAAAATTATCTGAACTCGAATTTGTAAATCAGCATTGTAAGAAATTTTATGTGAAAATATATTTTAATCGCCAGAGAGGGCGTAAATCTTTCATGATGTATACTTCTTATTCTTGGATCTGGCAGTGTCAGTTGCATGCGTGTGAGACTTGAATACACTTGGAAACCTGATTTATAATGTTCATTTACTTTGGTGTTATGTGTGATTTGAATTAATGTTTCTTGAACCAGGATAACTTGAAATCTTGACAATTAATATAATATTTTATATTTTTAGTATCCAACAGTTGCGCATGAACAGTTTTTTGATTTAGAATGCAGTGTTTTTACATGTTATTGAAAAATTATTCCTCGGCACTGAACGTGGCAGGATAAACGTTTAGAATACTTATTAATTCTTTTCACCAGGAAAGTCAGTTACTAAATTATGATTAAACCATTTGAAGACTGCACAGGCTGTACAGACTGCACAGTAAGAGAATAAAATTACTTTTGTTGTTATTATGGCAGACTTATGTTGTTAAATTGAAAGCTACTAGAAAAACTATGAGACCAGCTATTTGGGACAAGAATGTTGTAGAAGAAAATGTGTTTTTACTTACTTCTAAACAGTCTGCATTGAAAGAAATTGATGAAAAAATATTGGATTGTTTTTAAGGAGATGAGTCCGAAATTGAGAAAGAATGTAATACTGTGTTAGAGTATGATGAAAAAATGAGTTTATGTATTTTTAGGGCTAAAAAGAAACTTAAGTTAAATTCTCAGGTAGTGAACATTGAAAATGAATTGCCTGGTAACGATACTGCTGCCGTAAAGGTCGACAACAAAATTAACATTTGGTTACCTAAAATTTCAATTCCTAAATATTATGGTGATCCTAGTTTAGTTTTGGAATTTTATAATTCTTTTGAAAATGCTATTGGTAATAATAATGAGTTAACAAAGGTCGACAAGTTTACCTATCTTAATCCTTATTCGCAGGACCTGCTTTAAGTGCAGTATCTGGGTTTGCACTATCTAATGAAAATTGTGATGCTTCTATAAGTTTAATTAAAGAAAGATTTGGACGAACAGAATTGGTTATATCTTCGCACATGAATAAACTCTTGAATCTTGAACCGGTTAGAAGTTCGTCCAATGTGAAAGCACTCAGAACAGTTTACGATTCTTGTGAAATCAATATAAGAAGTTTAAATTCATTAGGTAGTGTGTCGGAAGCTTATGGGACACTTTTAGGATCTGTTATTTTAAAGCTTTTACCAGACGATATGAATCTGAAGTTTGATAGAAAAAGAAACTCTAAACAGCAATATAGCCTAACAGAACTTCTCGAATTCATTAGACTCTCAGCTTCCAATTTAATAATAAACTCAAAGAAACGAGACACAAATTACGGTGTTAAGCAGAAAAAATAATTACTTAAAAGGGACAAGCGTTCCTACTGCTTCGGCGTTAGCCACAGTGACTAAGCCGTATTATTTCTATTGTAATCAAAATACACATCATGTAAGAAAATGGGAGAAAACAAATGAAAAAAAAAGAGCAATATTAAAAAAAACCATGGACGTTGTTACAGATGTATAAGAGAGGCCATGTATCCTCCAGATGTAAAATGAAACCTCAGCCTTGTGAGTTGTGTAATCGTTTAAATCATAATAAGTTATTTTGTAAAAATATTGTTCCTGAAGTGGAAGCAGTTTCAGATGTTAAACAGAAAGTAGTTGCAGTGTCAGATTCTAAGCAGAATTTAGAGCCATCCCTGTCATTTAACTGTCATTTAAGTCTGTTTCTGAAACCACTGATAAAGGTGTATATTTACAAACTTGCACTGTTTATGCTTCAGATACAGATAATACTAGAAGCCAAATAGTAAAAAATTTAATTGATGGTGGATCACAGAGGTCATTTATTAGATCTGATTTGGCTAAAGAACTAAAATTAAAGACTTAAAGGAAAGAAAGGTTATATATTTATTCTTTTGGATATAGCCAGGTTAGACTAATCGAATAAAATGTTGTTCAAATTACCCTGAAAAGTATACATTGCCCTAATGACTCAATCACTGTTGAAGCTCTTGTTACAGATACTATTTCTGGAGCGATCATAAAAATTCCCTCCAAAAAACATTTTAGAAATATTAAAATCAGAAAATCTAAAATTAGCCAATAATGGTGAAGCAGCTGAAATAAAAATATTGTTAGGATCTGATTCATATTGGGAAGGGCAAACAGGCTAAAGTTTTTGAAACAGGCGTAGTTCTTTTGAAAAGAGTAAGTAATAAATTATTTGCGGTGTCTTCTGTATTTAGTTGGTCCTTGGTTGGTTCTTTGGAAGGTTATCAGTCTAGTGCCTGTATTTTTACAACTGGTGCTTCTCACTACTTGAAGGAAGATAATAATTCAGTTAATGACTGTTTGAAAAGGTTTTGGACTTTGGACCATTTGGGTTTAGAGGAGAAGGAGAATCCTGATGATAAATCACTCATCGAGAAATTTGAAAAAGAACTGCATTTTACTAATGGTAGATATGTATCTCGTTTGTTATGGAAATCACATCATGAAAACTTGGACAATAATTTAGAAAATGCCAAGCGACATCTAATATCTTTGGTTAATAAACTAAAAAATGATGAATGTCTTAGGGAGAATTATGATAGCATAATAAACAAACAGTTAAAAAATGAGGTTAATCTTTGGATTATGCTAACTTGGCGATTTTTTTGGCGAAAATTTGGCGACCAACCCTGCTACAGCAACTTGCTAGTTTTTTTTTTTTTTTTTTTTTTTTTTTTTTTTACCCAACATTTTTTTCCAACAATCTGCTAGCCAAATTATGCTTATGCTAGAACTTTTATGCAACAAAAGTGCTTAATCGTGGCAAAGATTAGGGTCCAAATTGGGAGAAAGTGCAGAATCACTCACTGCTTGCCGCGTTTTTAAGAATTGCACATACACGGTATCCATGTACACGTCGACCTATTTCACTTAAAAAAACATCCCAAAATTGCACAAAAATGGCATTGCGCACACTCTTGACTTTATCCATGTACACTGCTAAAGTTCTAGCTAATAACCTTGATCGCCTTACCGAAATGTCGCCAAACTACCTGTTACCATATTCCAAAGATTAGCCAAAAATGAAATAATTGAAGAGTGCGAAATTGAAAGTCGGGACAGTAGTAAAATGTATTACATGCCGCATTCTCCAGTGGTAAGAAGAAATGTATCAAAAACTAAAATCCGTATCGTGTTTGACGCATCTTCGAAGTGTAATGGGGTATCTCTGAACAATTGTTTGATGCCTGGCCCAAATTTGAATCCTTCTGTTTTGGACTTGATATTGCGATTCAGACAATACAAACATGCGTTCTCAGCAGACATTGAAAAGGCCTTTCTCCAGATTAGAATCTCTGAAATTGATAGAGAAGTATTACAGTTTTTATACTTTAATAATAATTACAATTTGAAATATTAAAGAATGACTCGCGTTCTTTTCATTGTGTCATGTAGCCTTTTCATTCTGGCGTGCACTATAAAAAAGCATATAAAGAAAATAGAGTTAGAAAAACCAGATATTTTTGAGATGTTGAACTGTTCGATCTACATAAATGATGTTTTCTATGGTGCGGATTCTGTGGAACAGGCTTTTAAGTTAAGTACTGGAGCCTATTGTTTGCTTAAAGATGCCAGAATGAATTTGCATCAGTTTAATACAAATTCAGAGACACTCAAAGAACTTTGGGATGATTGTGGAATAATTATATCAGAAAATGAAATAAATAGCTCCTTAGAAGCATTAGGGCTCAACTGGTGCACGAGTAAAGATGTAATTTCCTTGAACATAGATAACGTGTGTAAAATATTAAATGGTTGTAGAAACACCGCAAAAAGAAATATATTAAAGATGACTGCTACTGTTTTCGATCCAGTAGGTTTCTTGGCGGCATTTGTATTACGTGCAAAATTGATAATGCAAAACCTTTGGCAGTTGGGTTTAGAATTCGACAACGAAGCTCCAACTGAATGTAAGCAGTTGTGGTCTAAGTGGAGCGGTGAAATCGAAAAATTAAAGAAATGTGAAATTTCTCGAGAATATTTCCCCGCCAAATTCAATCAAAATAAAGACATCGAACTGCTTTTATTTTGTGATGCATCTATTAAAGCATATGGTTCAGTTGCATATTTTAGATCGGTTGAAGAAGGGCAGGTAGCATTCATTATGGCAAAATCTAGAATTGCACCAATAAAACAAAAACTCACACTTCCAAGGTTAGAGTTATTAGGAGCAATCAAAATCGTAAAAAACAACCTTATATTTAGCGTAGGTAATTTATATTTAGCGTAGGTAAACCTTATAATAGCGTAGGTTTTTTTTTTTTTTTTACCTACGCTAAATATAAGGTTGTTTTTTACGATTTTGATTTATTAGGAGCATTTACATCGGCAAGACTTGTTAAAAATTTAACCGCTTGCCTGATTATCCCGAGTTATCTTGGGTTTGTATTTATTGCAGTTAATTATTATCCCGAGAAAACTCGGGTGAAGCAGAATTTGTTAGTACGATTTCTTTTATCATGGTTTTATTTGGTCTGGAGGAAATGAAAGGAAATATGCAGCTTTGATTGGCAATTTGACAAATTTTGTTGGGCGCGATTCTTTTGGAGGGACTGGTTACGTGTTTACCTATTGTATAGTATACATTGGCTTGTGGATTAGTAATGTATAAAGAAGGATGCATGCGTTGAAAAAAAAAAAAAATAAAGTAATGGCGATGATTTTTCAGATAGTGATTATGAAGAAGTGGAAAAAAATTTAAAAAAAAAAAAAAATCAAATCCAACAAGACAGTGCTCCCGTGAAAGAGATTCCAGCGGTAAGCCAGTAAGAAAAGAGACCAGATACCAGTGTAGAATGTCAGGTATCACTCTGTGTTGTTCCTTGTTTCAAAAACTATCATACAAAGATTAATATTTCACTTTTTTCCGTTTGCCCGAGATAACTCGGGATAGTAAACTGATATTAAAAATAAATGCTTTTACACCTTCAAAAATTAAAAATTCAACTTAAAAACTACATATTTTGATTTGTTTCATTTTGTTGTATTTAATAATAAAATAAAAAAAAACGTGATGATTTTTTGCAATTTTTTTCAAAAAAATTTGTAAGGGAAGCGGTTAAAAGAGACCTTTACAGTTATTAGTTAAGTTGGAATGCTAAGAGTATTAATATTGTGTGATCGTATATTTCTTACTGAAAATGTAATCTTAATGCTATTTAAAGTATTGCATATTTAATATTTAAAGAAATGTATATAATAGAAAATTTTAAGGTTGTAGAAATGTATAAGTGTATTTAAAATTTAATTTAATCCTGAAGGAAAAAAAAAAGACAGGTTTTTTTTTTTTTTTTTTTTTTTTTTTTTTTTTTTTTTTTAAATATTTTTAGTATTTTAGTTGGATTATAGAAATGTTATTTGTTTAATATTATCTTGAGTTATATAAATTCTTGATAATTCCGGATGCTTGAACAGGAATGTTATAACATAATCCTTGATGAATGAAACTTTACTTGATATTCTTGAAATATATGGTAAGTTTACATGTTCTTCATGTTTATGTGACACTTCTTTATTAGAAAAACTTGAATTTGTATTGAAATGCATAATGACTCTTGAAAATAATTCTTGAAAATGTTCATGTATCACTGATAATCTTGATTGTTCTGAACTACAGTTCAGCTAGGCCCAGTGTGTAAGAAATTTTATGTGGAAATATAGTTTAATCGCCAAAGAGGGTGTAAATCTTTCATGGTGTATATTTCTTGTTCTTGGATCTGGTAGTGCCAATTGAATGCGTGTGAGACTTGAATAAACTTAAAAACCTGATTCGTAATGTTCATTTAACTTGGTGTTATGTGTGATTTGAATTAATGTTGCTTGAACCAGAATAACTTGACGGAAATATAATATTTTTAGCAAAGTATGTTTCTTGACGGTTAATATAATATTTTATAGGTGTTGCCACATCTGAACCTTTCTTCCTACAAACCCATTTAATTCCATCTGAGCGCTTTTTACGTTCGACTAGACGCATATCCTTCCTACGTACAGGACACTTATAATGGCTACTCTAAGTAAACCTTCATTTACACACCAGTTAATTAATGCTCTTTTCCCCTTTCGTTCCAAATCATAGAGAAACTTCAAATTAATCTTACTATATTCAGCCATTCTACTGTCTAAACAATAAAACCAACACACACCACAAAAGTGCTTACAAAACATCCCATAATTTCAAAATTTTCCAAAATCATGCACCCGATTACGTCACAATAGGGTTTCCATAACAACTACTCAGACTACCATAAATGAAACAACAACTTCGCCATAATACAAGGGATACCTTAAAGTCTACTCTAATCTTTTTTTTTTTTAAGAAATGCCTTATTTGTCATTTTGTAGTAAAATAAAAATTTAAAAAAAAAAAAAAAATAGCAATCAGTCATGCACCCGATTACGTCACAATAGGGTTTCCATAACAATTACTCAGACTACCATAAATGAAACAACAACTTCGCCATAATACAAGGGATACCTTAAAGTCTACTCTAATCTTTTTCTAAGAAATGCCTTATTTGTCATTTTGTAGTAAAATAAAATAAAAAATAAAAAAAAAAAAAAAATAGCAATCAGTCATATGGGCTAACCATTTAATACAGTCAAAGTCCGAAATCCAGACTTGTGGAGACTTTTGGGATTTTTCTGGATATTAGATCATCAGTTTAAATCTAGCAAGATGGCATGTAGAAATAATAAAACTAAAAGTATGAAATCATGATTTATGATCTAAAGTGTATCAAAATGTAAAAAAGCTTAATATTTATTTGTTTACTGTATTAAACATTTCTGTCAAAGTTGTTTAAGTTGCTTTGTTTTTTGGGCTAATACTTTCTCTTTAATTCTGTAGACAGACATAATTTCTTATTCAATTGCAAAATTCCATTGTTGAAGTTCTGTAACTGCTGTGTCTAGAATTCCAACTGACTTGTCAGTCAAAATTTTTTTCGCTTTCAGTAACCTCTCTGTCACTTTCTTCACTGTTGGTAGCAGTGTTTTCTGGATCTAGAACCATACTACAGATTTCGCCATCCGTTAATTGATTGATGATTGAGGAGCTTCCTTGTCATCACAAGGAAAGACTTCTTTTATATCATCTTCATTTATTACTGCTTCTCCACATTTCTTTACAAAATCCGTTAATTAGAAAATTCCACCTTTAGTTTGCAAACATCAAAAACCTTCAGATCCCTGGCTATTATCATAATAGCTATCATTCACTATACATATTTGCTATGTATCATGAGATTGGCGACTAAAGACAAATTGTTCTGCTAAATTTTATCTTTTTCCTTTTGTCCATTGAGACAATTAAGCTTGAAAAATTGTATTAGTTTAGTTATACTTACACCTATTTCTTGCACATGCTTAAGGCTTATCTGAGTATTGAATAAATAAATTTCCACATATACTTAAAGCTTTCTGCTGGTTTTAAATTCTTTCTACCAAGCGCCTCTATTTGTCTTCCCTAAATTCTGCCACTCAGTGTGGCCATACAAGCTGTGGCACCATTCTGGGTTTATGTGAATAAAACAAGTTAGTTATTCTTAATTTAAATAGCACTGAATGTAATCTTTTGTCCTATAATTATTATATTAGTCATTAACAAAATTTAGATTTAGCATATGTAAAGAAATTGTTAAATTTTTCCTGTCAATATTTCTTAATGCATTAAACTTAAATTTGTAATCATCGCCAAGCATAATGTCAACATAAAAGGTTACCATGCTCTTTGTTATTCATTTACTAATATAAAAAAAAATGTTTAGATGTCACTTCATGGGTTGATAAACATGCAGTGACGAAAGCAAATTATAATAAATAATGATTTGCTAGGTTGGTGTCAGGGATATAAAATATTAGTAGGTGTAAAATCAACAATGTATCTATGTAGAATGTTTAAGTTTGAGATGTATGCCAAGGAGATACGCAGCTACAGAGCCAAATAATTGATCATACAAATTTAAGCGAAAATGATTCTTTCTTCAATAAGAGGTATTTTATTTATTGCCAAAGTGAAATTAAGACTCGGGGACTCTCCACATGCATGGGATTAATCAAATATGCAAGCGTAAAGCACACACAAAAATAAATAAATTTTAAAAAAAAAATTTTTTTTTGGTTGTGACTTTAAGGTCTGGATTTTAGGTCATTCCGGATATTGGACGTCAGGATCTCGCACTTTGTACTGTATAACTATATTTGCCAAAATAGCATTCATTATTGTAATCCAGGTTTTAAGTAATTAAGAAATGTTTACATTTTTAAAGTTAATTAGTAATCTACAGTTTGTAAGTAATCTGCATTTTAGTGTTATTCATATCAATTAATGTTGCTTCTTTCGTCTAAATTTATTATTAGTTAATATCAAGTTTCAGGCAGTTTTCTCTGGCATAATCTTGAAACTAATTCTAGCAGTATGATGACATACTGTCACAAAATTCAGTACACATATTTTTTGCCTATGCTGCTAAATAAATATAAAATACCTGAATTTATTTAAAAATATCATTAAATAGATTTCTTTCTTTCGTTTAGCTGCAAAATGTCTGCAAAAAAAGACATTTTTAAATTCAGATTGGACAGATTCTAATCTCAATCTTCAGTGGAGAAAACAACTCCTATTATAGTTATAATAGTACTACTTTGAGGATTATATTTATATACATATATATAAGTCATATGTACTTGGCCAATATTTTTGGGTTTTCAAGTGGTACCATAATTAATTTACCTCTCAGCACAGCCAACGCGCACTACGCGGATCAACTGAAATTTTCTTAAAACACACCTGGTAAAGTCAGAGAATTTCATTCTCCTGTTTGAGTGTCAACCCTGAAAAAAAATATCTGGAAATTTATTTATTATGTAAGTTATGTTAAATTTATTTATTACTTAAGTTATGTCAAATTTATTTATTGTGTAAGTTATGTTAAATTTATTTATTATGTAAGTTATGTTAAATTTATTTATTATGTAAGTTATGTTAAATTTATTTATTATGTAAGTAGCAAATAGTTAAATAGAAAGTGCTTAGAAAGACCTGGGTATTTATTTAAAAGCACAATATATTCTCACTTTTTGAATTGAAAGTATTGCTTCTTACATTATAAATTATAAGTAAAAATAAATAAATATAGATACATTTTGAATGGTTAATTGGATGAAAATAAATGTGTAATAAGGTTTTTCAATTATAAATATTGCATGCCTTATACATGATATTATTCTTGAATAATTAAAAATTAATGTAGTTGAGTGTAAAATGTATCTTTGTTCCTTCTTTTCAGCATATTGATGGAAAGCCTTCTAGCAAGTGTTTAACTGAACTTCCTTCTCCCTTAACAGAATCCATTTCATTATATGAAAGAGTCAACTTATCTTTTAACTGCTTGTCAACTCTGCCTGCTGACTTGCCACTGAGATTGCCACACATTTCATTTTTAGATTTATGTTATAATCGAATTTCGAAGTTACCTGATAGTCTTGGTCTTTTGTTCCACTTGAAAGACCTGCTTTTATCACATAACTGTTTAGAAGTCTTACCGCAGGCAATTACTCGACTTGTAAAGCTGCAAAAAATTGATGTCTCCCATAATGTTTTGCAAGAATTACCTGAAAAGATAGGTGAAATGGAATCACTTAAAAAACTTAATGTTAGCCATAACAAACTTAAAAGTCTTCCTAAGTCATTGGGGTATAGTGATACTATTAAAGTAATTTTAGCAGGCTCTAATTGTTGTGTATCTCAGCCCCCACAGAATATTTGTGATGGTGGTTCTGATCAAACTATTAGATTTTTGAAACAGCTTGCATCTGGGAAAATCTTGTCGAAAGTAGAAAGGGAAGTTAATATTTTCCCTAGAGTTCGAGGCAATGTAGTCCAAACAGCTGTGCCTAATTCAGATTCAGCACTTGCTCAGTATGTGCAAATACAGACTGAAACCATGAATACTGCAAGCAGAATTCGAACACCATTACTGCCACCTTATGATGCTACTCAGCTCCATCCTGATGAGTTAAAAGATAAAATTATAGGTGAGTTTCCTAAAAAATTTAGTTTTGAAATGTTTATGCAATTGATCATTCTACTATTTGGAAGTTAAAGCACAAACTCCCATACTGTCAAAATTTGCTTTTAAATTTTCTAAAACTTTTGTTTCATTTGTTCTGATTGAATTTACCAAAACCTTTCTTCTGAATGACTGAATACTAGAAACATAAATAGTCAATTTTTTTTTAAATTTTGCATATATCATCTATTAGTTGTTATATTCTAAGAATAAGTTAGAAAGAAGAAAATGTTGTTAAGAAAATCATACAGAAACGTTAGTTCACAAAGTATGTATATACAGTACGGAGATCCAAGACTTATTGGAACTTTAGCTATTCTAGATATTAGATCATCAATTTAAATCTAGTAAGATGATATGTAGAAATTATAAAATAAAAACATGAAGTCATGATTTATGAACTAGTGAAGCATTTATAACCTAAAAAATATCAAAATTTACAAAAATTAAGTTAATATTTATTTATTTATTTACTTTATGGAGCATTTGTTTGAATGTAAATCCTTTAAGTTGCTTCATTTTTTGTGCTAATACTTTCTCTTTAATTCTATAGAAAGGTATAATTTCTTGTTCAGTTACGAAATTCTGTTGTTCAAGTCCTATAATTGCTGTGTCGAGAATTCCAACTAATTTGTCAATCGAAATTTTTTTCATTTTCAATAACCTTTCGGTCACTTTCCTCTCTATCAGTGGTGGTATTTTCTGAATTTAGAACCTTACTACATATTTGGCCATCCTTTTATTGACTGATGATTGGGACATTGGTATCGCAATGAAAACCTCTGTTATATCACCTTCATTTATTACTGCTTCTCCATATTTCTTTATAAAATGTATTAAATAGAAAATTTCACCTTTGGTTTGCAATATTCGAAAACTTTCAAATTCGCAGCTATCATCTTTATCATCCTCACCATGAAATATGACAGCTGGCCATAAATTTTGCCAAGCATATTTTAAAGTATCTGGAGACACACTCTCCCACAATTTTGTGATGGTCCACACAGCAGATTTTATGCTAAAATATCTCAAAAATTCCTGAATAGTCTTGCTGTTATTCAAGAAATTTGACATGGACTTTAAAAATGCTACTTTATATTTGCATTTCGCGTGCACTATTCCGATATCCATAGGCTGAAACCAGGTAAACCAACCGAATTCAAATGTTGCCAAGCCTCGGGTATGAAAAGCGTTTCAAACCAATTATTCATTAATGCTGCCGTCCATGCTCTTCTGTTTGCACAATATATAATGGGGAAAATCTTGGTCCCAGTGCTGTACTCCTCTAAATGCTCGAGGTTGTATATTTTTTTCAATTACAAAAAGTTTACACTTGCGCATTCCTGCAACATCTGCACATGCTGAAGTTGTTAGTTTGGAATCTTTGTGACACCAGTTGGAGCCTTTTCTGTAGAGGTTGCCAGAGTATTTTGCAGTACATATTGCCAGAAAAGATCAGTTTAATCAGCATTTTAAATTTGTTCTGGAGATAAATTTTTCACCTGAAATTTTTAACTGCCCTATACCATGGCGATTTTTATATTTGGTTAACCAAACTGTTGAATATGTGCTTTAAGTTTTTAAGTTCATTTATTCGTGAAATATTTTGACTTGAACCATTAGCATTGGAGCAGTCAATATCACGCCTTCACTGCAATGCTGTCTGACCCATTCAATCATCACTTTGTCATGATTGTTCACTTTTAGCATAAGGAATAATTTTTCTGTTATTTATTGCAAGTAAGGTGTTGGAATCCACAAAAAAAAAATCAAAAAGTTCCTTTTTCCATTTTCTTATATCATACACAGTTGACTTCCTATTGCCGTTCTCCTTGCATAATTTTGGAACGGATATACCTTTATCCATTTTTTGCAACAATTCCACTTTTTGTTTAATGGATATGGAAACATGCTTTCGCTTTGTAGATTCTGTTGCTGCTTCAGAATCAGAAACTGTTTTGAACATAATTGAAAGTTTAGACTTTAATTTTTATAAAATCGCTGTAATAATAACAACCTGCAAAAAATATCCTTGGAATCAGTAAAGTATAATTTTAGCTTAGCTTAATAGCATCCGCTATACATTATTGTCTATGTAGCATGAGATTGGTGCCGAAAGACAAATTGTTCCACTAAATTTTGTTTCACTTCTATCGCGCACTGAAATAATCTTGAATTGTATTATTTTAGTTATTTATTGTACTTACGTCTATTTGTAGCAAATGCTTAAGGCTTATCTGAGTCCTGAATAAATAAATTTCCACATATACTTATAGCTTGTTGAAGGCCGATGCTAGGTATCTTATCTAGATACCTTTGCGGGTCCTAAATTTTGGGTTCCAGTGCTTTACCTAAATTCTAAAAATTTTGCCAGCCCTCAAATTTGGTTGCTTGGTGCTTCTCTAAATTCCAAAAATTTTGTATTCCCTAAATTTTGCCGCCCGGTGCAGCCATATGAGCTCTGGCACCAGTTCTAAGTTTATATAAATAACAAATCAGTTATTCTTAATTGAAACAGCGCTAAATTTAATATTTTTTCCTATGAGTATCATTAGCAAAATCCATTTTTAGCACATGGAAAGAAATTTTTGTTAAATTTTTCCTCGTCAACATTTCTTAGTGCATTTAACTTAAATCTGCAAATAGCACCAAGCGTAATGCCAACAAAAAAGGCTCTTTGTTATTCAATTACTAATATAAAAAATTTGTTTAGGCGCCGCTGCTTGAGTTATTACTCAATTTGTCATCTGTTGAATAAACATGCATTGATGAAACAAATTTGCTGTTATTGGAGATGCAATAATGATTCACCAGGTTGGCATCGAGGATATAAAAAATTAGTAGTTGTAAAATTAAAGATGTTTCTATGTTTCAGTTTGAGATGTATGCCAAGCAGATATGCAGCTACGGAGTCAGATTATTGATCAGACAAATTCATGCGAAAATGTCTGTTTCTTCAATAATGAATTAGTTTATTTAGTGCCAAAGTGAAATTAAGAATTGAGAACATGTTTTATTATGGGGAAAAACAAATCAAATGCATATGCGAAAAGCATAAAAAGGAAAAGAAAAAGAAAAAAATTAGTGGCATTGTGTATGAATGCAGCTGTTTTTAATATTCAGTCTTGGGGTTTAATGCAAGTAGGAGGCAGATTGCACTCATTGAAAGCTTAACTCTGCAGGTGGAGGAAGCAGGATCAACAGAAAAAGATAGATCTCTGACCAAAACTTTTGCTTACCTCAGCTTAATCAACAAGGTGAGCTTTTTGATCTCTCTGTGTAAGAACAGGAGGCTATTTGAACTAGAGATGGGCAAAACGGCTCCTTTAAGAGAAATCAGCTATTTATATGATTATATGATTAGTTTGGTATGCTTCCACATTTGATAGGTTATTTCTATCATGAAATAATATGTCAAACTTTAGCATGAGAATTTTCTAAAATATAGTACTAATTCTTCTTATTTTATTATATTTTCCTTATCTGTTAATGCCTTTTTCAGGTCTTATATATGGTGCTGTTATTGGAGATGCTTTAGGAATAGCTACAGAATTTCTATCCCAGGATGAATGTCAGTTCTACTATGATGAAGAAACGCTGACGTATGCAGATATTATACGTGATGAGCATAGAGTACATTGGGCCAAAGGTGACTGGACATCTAATTCAGATCAAATGGTGTGAATATTGATTGAAATGCACATATATATATATATATATATATATATTTAGTTAATAATATTATTTTAACCCTCATGTATATTTTTTACAGATTAATGCATTTAAGTTTATATTTCCAATTCCTGATAACTTTGTTACAAATATTATAGAACTGAAGGTTTGGTTGGGTGTTCTAGATCATAAACAACTGCAGCTTTGAATAATAATGTACAAAAAGCTTAGTAATCATCAATAATATCATCAGCAACATAAATTAGCAATCAAGTTTTAGTTTCATTGGAGAAGCAGCAAATTAGTCTGAATGCTTTTAAAGATAAATATTGTTAATTTTCTTAATTTTATGGAAACAGAGTTTTTAAATTTCTGAGAATCCTTTCCAGCTGAGAGTTTCAGAATTTTTCTCTGTACTTGCTGTTTCTAGTACATTTTGCAGACTGAATTAGTTGTATGTTTTTAATTTTTCTGTTGTATTTTGAGACCTCTGATTTTCAGAGAAATTGCAGAATCATTGGTCAGTGATCCTCCTGAGGCCATGTGGCTTTAATGACAGATACATTGCAAATCACCAAAATCTTCAAAAATGGTCATTCAGTTACAAGAGGTATAATAATGTTAATTAGAGAAGTTATTGGGAAGATACTTCTGTAATACAAGTCAGTTTTGGGTAGTTTGTACCTCTAAACTTCTCAACAGTATGGAATGAACCTTTAGATTACAGCTTGTGTGGTAAAGCGGTAAATATATATGTTTTTTTTTTTTTTTTTTTTTTTTTTTTTTTTTTTTCCCTTTAGCTTCATATGGATCACCTCAATATTAATAGCTTTAGGAAAGTAATGATTTTCTATATTAATTAATGTATTCAATGAATATATTTGATTAAGTACCTTCTGCATTCTTACATCAAAACTCCTGCCCAGTTTTTTTTCATTTTGAAAATATGAAAACTACTAGGTTAAAATTCAGTTTTCATGAAATCAGTAATTTGTTTCTTGAATCTTATTGTCGTATCAGTTAATAAAATATTTTCTTATAGCGTACAGAATGTTTTCTTTTCTAATTAATCGAATGGAAATATCATTCTTAAATCGGGAATCTATGCAAAAAGCATAATATGCCTTCATTTGCCTATATTATTATAGCTATATTAATTAATGAAATACTGTTCTATTATCAGGACCTGAACCAGAAATGTGTGTATGTATGCATATATATATATATAGATACATACATGCATACCTGTGTGTGTGTATGTATACATATGCACATGTATGTACACTGCTTGACATTGAAAATGCAACACTAAGAAGGAGTGGTCAGAAATTTATGCAAATTTTAGAGTAGACGCACGTCACTGAGTTATACGAATGATGTGAAATGCGCAGCTCTCCAATGCACGTGAAGTAAGGTATAAGGGAAGGAACGTGCAGAATGGGCAATATTCATGTCGTTATTTCTGCCAGATGAATTACCGAAGAAAGTTGGTTTTTGTCCCAGAGGATACGTGTAATAGGAGTTAACGAAGGCACTTCCAGCAGATAAACTATTTTACGACGGGTGTGGTGATCGGACTGAGAAGGGTGGGTTGGTCCTTACGTCAAATGGCAGCTGATACTCACATGGATGCGAGCACGGTGCATCGGCTATGGCAAAGCATGGTTGGAACAAGGAAATGTGGGAAGAAGGAGGGGTGCAGGTGCAGCCAGTGACGTCAGCAAGCGTGGATTGACGCATCCGCCGACAAGCTGTGGCGGTCCCGCAAGTCACTTGTACCGCGATTCTGCAGCATGTGGAAGATGTTCTCGATGTTCCTGTGTCGATCAGAATCATTTCCCGTTGATTGCTTGAACGTAGCCTGCACTCACAGCTTCCGTTAAGAAGCCATTGACCCCACAGCATAGATGCCAATGTTTAGAATGGTGCCGGACTGGAGCAATGTGGATGACAGAATGGCGAAACATGTTCTCAGATGAGTCACGCTTCTGTTTGTCCAGTGACAGTCACCGCATACGTGTGTGGCGTTGATGTGGAGACATATCTAATCCAGCAGTAACTGAGGAATGCCCCACCGTGCAACAAACGTGGCATAATGGTTTGGGGCGCTATTGCCTACTGTTCCAGGTCACCTCTAGTTTGTATTCAGGGCACTATGATGGCCCAACGATACTTGGATAATGTACTACGGCCGGTGGCAATCCCCTACCTTCAGGGGCTGCCTAATTTCAACACTTTTTCAGCAGGATAACGCCCAGCCACACAGTGCTCGCATCTGCCAACATGCTCTGGAAGCTATACAGCTATACTCTCCTGACCAGTTACCAATCAAACATATGTGGAATGTAATTGGATGCTGTTTTCAGACTCTGCCCCTGCCTCGTTCAGAAGACGAACTGTGGCAAATGGTTGAAAGGGAATGAAGAGCCATCCCTCAGGACACCATCCGATTTCTTATTGATTCCATGCCTAGACGGGTTTCTTCGTTCATCGCTGACCATGGTGGACTGAGCCGACGCCGTTCTCTCTCTGTATTCTGACTATCATTTTGAAATAAAGATCACTTATTGCTGCTTGCTGTCTCTGTCTTTTTTCCAAATTTCATCATTTTCTGACCACTCCTTCTTAGTGTTGCATTTTCAATGTCGAGCAGTGTACATACATATTTGAATTTAGTCCTGATAACAGGAAGAGTACCATTAATAATATTTTCTATTTATACACTTATTTTTTTAAAACACTTTAAACATTTTATGTACTTAAATTCAAAATGTACGTATTTTATTTAGAATGTAGTGATTATTATTAGTAATAATCAACTTAAATTTTATGCCACATGCATATAGTTATAATTAACCTATATAAAATTGTTATGAAAGAAAGGAGGGGGGAAAAGGAAATTCCTATAAATAAAATATATTTAAAAAATAATTACAAATGAATATGTATAATTAGTACATAGTAGGCAAAAAATTACTTCACAGTTTCTCATAAAATATATTAAAAAATAATTACAAATGAATATGTATAATTAGTACATAGTAGGCAAAAGATTACTTCACAGTTTCTCATAACCTAATCGGAACTTTTCTCCCAACTCCCACCTTGAGAACTAGGATTATCAAACGATCTAAAAATGCATTTGTTACTAATTATAAAATTATAAATTCTTTTTAGTCTAACAAAGTAATAGAGGGCACAGCAGTGGATAGTTTCTTCAAGGAACTCATGCGATTTACGATGTACTGTAGTAGATGAGAGTGTATGCAGAAGTATTCTATAAGACTGTGCACTGTTGTCCTGCAGATATACTGCAATGTGGTATTGTGTATTATAGTACAAACTCCAAAATCTGAAATGATCAAAAATCTGACCTTTAGATGACCAACAATTTTTTTAAGAAACGTTTTTTATGCTTTATGTTTGATTTGATACTTTTTTATAATTAAACATGTGGAGAGTCCCATTTCTTAATTTCACGTATGATCTGACACTAACTTGGCGAATCATTGTTTATTATTTTTTGCTTTCAGCACCATGACTGTCAACACTCTGCACCTTGAAAAATGATTCGCACATCGATAACTTATTTTTTATATATATTAGTAATTGAATATCAAAGAATATAGTAAACTTTTATGTTGATATTATTAGCTGGCAATGATTAGAGGCTTCAGCTAACTGTCGCAAAGTGTTGAGAATATTGATGAGGAGAAATTTAACAAAAATTTCTTTCTGTATGCAAACAATACATTTTTTAAATGATGATCATTGGTCAAAAGATTACATTTAGTGCTATTTGAATTGAGAATAATTGATTTGTTATTCAGATAAGCCTTTGATCAGTGCCAGAATTTTGGGCAGGCAAAGATTTTTAGAATTCATTGAGCAACAAAATTAAGGGATGGCAAAATTTGTAGAATTTAAGTAGATGCTTGACAGCAGAATTTCAGGCTCAAAGACATTGCACCAGGCTGAAAAATATCTAGCCCTGGCCCTGGATAAGCCTTAAGCATATGATATCAAAATTCTATACTGTGGGAATAGATATAAGCGTAATAATTAACTAATATAATTCAAGCTGAACTTTGTCAGTGAATGATAGAAGCAAGACAAAATTTAGCAACCAATCTCATAATGCAAAGCCAATTGTGTATAGGGGACATTAGATAAGCTTTATGGTGATAGTCACAAATTTGAAGGTCTTCAGAAATCTTCAAACAGAAAACAAAATTTTTGAGTTAATGGAATATTTAAAGAAATGGGGAAAAGGGGTAATAAATAAAAGTGTAGCAGAAGTTTTTTTTCATTGCAATGTCAATGCCCTAATCTTTAATCAACAGTGGGTAGTGAAATCTATAGTATGGCTCTAAATCCAGAAAATATCAGTACTGATAGTGAAGAATGTGATCGAGAGTTTGCTGAGAACGAAAAAATTTCATTTGACAATTTAGTGGGACTCAATGCTTCAATTACTGTTCTTGAACAATGGAACTTTGTAACTGAACAAAAAATTATGTCTATCTACAGAATTAAAGAGAAAGTTTTAGAACAAAAAGGAAAGCAAATTAAACAACTTACATTAAAAGAAATATTTAATAAGGCAAACAAGTACAGTACAAAGTCTTTAATCTGGAATGATCTATAATCCGGACCTCAAAGCTACAAACTTTAAATCTGGTAAGCATGAGTAAACGAAATAATGTGTTTACGCATAATGCATATGCATTTATGCATGTTAGCATAATACGTTTACGCATGCACGTTTAATGTATAACAGACGATATAAGCTAGGCTAAAATTATCTAATTATCTATTTCAGTTAATGTTGCAGATTGCGTCGTTCCTTAATCTTCTAATTGGATCCAACTTATTATTTTTTGCAGACTGTTAGAGCAATTTTATAAAAAGTAAGCTTGAACTTTCGATTATGTCAAAAAGAGTTTCCGATTCTGGAGCTGCCAAAAGATCTACAAGCAAAAGCATGTTTCAATGTCCATCAAGCAAAAAGTGGAATTGCTGCAAAAAATGGATAAAGGCATGAAGAAAGTAACAGAGAGGTTAGTGAAAATGAAAGCATTTCGATTGACAAGTTAGCAGGTATTACAGCAATTACAGGACTTGAACAGCGGAACTTTGTAACTGAACAAGAAATTATGTCTGTTTATAGAATTAAAGAGAAGGTATTAGCACATAAAGCAAAGCAACTTAAACAACTTACATTGAAAGAAATGTTTAATAAAGTAAACAAATAAATATTAAGCTTTTTTTTTTTTTTTTTTTTTTTTAAAATTTGATACCCTTCAGATCATAATTGCTGTTTATTTCATAAATTACGGTTTTATATTTTTAATTTTATAATTTCTGCATGCCATCTTACCAGATTTAAATTGATGATATATAATAATAAACCCCCTAATCTGGAATCGCTGAAGTCCCGATAAGTTCGGATTAAAGACTTTGTACTGTATTTAGCTCTTTTCCCCCCCCCTCGTAAATTTTGATTTTGAACTAAATTTATAATGCAGAATATAAAATTAAAATATTTACACTTGCTATTACTCTTCATTGCTTCATTTAATTTCTTACAACATATTTAATGATATTCATGTACATATATTCTGGGGCATATATATCATATCAACTGCTTATAGCCCAAAACAGTATTTATTTTACTTTTCCGTTAGTCAGGCACAAATGTTGCTAACAGCAGACTTTTTTGTTTTAGTGGCAGCATAGTACATCACGCTCAGTTAAAAAATTGAAATACCTATATCAGTAGGAAAATATATAAACATATTCAAAAAATAAAAACTTTCACACATTTACTATAAAATATGACAAAGAAACAACTGTTTTAACCCAGGAGGTCGTGCATGGGGTATGTTTAATCTCATTATTAATATATCATTTTCTCTAATTATTCCTGCTGTAATATATTTCTTTAAAGTATCTCTACATGAAATCTATTTTATTACATTCCGTATTTTCAATTAATTGCATATATTGAAACAAATATGAAATTGCTCAAATTATATTTATCATATTTAATATAAAAATGCATGTAAAGTATTAGATTAAAATAGAAAAAAATTAATTAAAAGATTATTTTGGTACTTTTCCGTTTTGCAGGCGCAAACGATAAAGTCGCCAATAATGGTACAACTGATGTCAAACGGAATATCTTCGCTGGTAACCTTTTACGCCTCCTTTTGAAACACAAATAGCCATTTCGTACCAGATTGATTGCTTTTTTCAATACTGGCATACAATTACAGAGAATATTTACAAAGATAATTAAATTGTATGCCCTAAGACAATTCGCGGTAATTAAGTCAATTAGATGCAATCACATCGCTCAACCAAAGGCGAAAATATAGAAGAAACAAAATCAAGAGTTAAATTCATTCATTCTAATGAGAATGCACTAGCGAAGTAAAGCACTACGGTTTTACATAATTTCTGAGTAAGCTATTAGTACGAATTGAAATAATTCTTGCATTTAAACTTTTATTCCAAATTAGATTTAACTTGAAATTAATGTAAATAATTACTGAGAGAATTAGATTTTTGTAGCGTAGTTTACGCGAGATGAGATCAATTTAAATGATGAAACCATATTAAAATGTTTATGCCTTCAAAATCAAAAATTATTAGAACTAACATTTGTTAACATTTTTTCTGTTTATACTGTCTGTTGTCGCCAACAAAGTCTGCTTGGCGACATTTGCGCCGGCGAAACGGAAAAGTACCTTTATTTTATTTTCTGCATCAATATATAATAATTGCTAGATTGTTAAATACTTTCCTTTTTCTATACAGTCATATATCATCTAAAGTAATCTTATAAATAATATTTTCATTAAAATTAATATAAAATTCTGTAAAATTTAGTAATACAAAATATTATTGAGATTAATTTTAAAAAAAACTCATTCAAATAATATCAGATATTTGCTGCTTTCTGATAAGTTATAACATTTTTGATGCATTGAAAAGGTGTGATTTTGCTCATAAGTTTCATTTTATATTCAAAATTGATTACATTTCATTTATAGAAAGGAAAACTTGAACTGAATATAAGAAAATTCTGCATGCAAGTTCAAGGCATTTGAACTTACATGAGGATGTGCATGGGGTGAATATGACCCCAAAATGTTATTTAAAGTAATTATTTAGCAAATGAACAAACTAAAAACTTGAAACCTGATTTAAAATAAAGGTCATGACTTATTGATTATAACTACTGAAGAAATGAAATGATATTGAATCATGATTTAAGAGAAGCATTCCATTTTATGAAGGTGGGATAAAATAGACTCCATGTGCATGCTTACAGGTTAATAACATTTTAACATTAAAGCACATTTGGTAAACATATGCACACACATGCAGAAAAAGTTGTTTTTCTTATGTCAGTTGAAGGGTAAAAAATTTTTAATGCCATTTTAGAATTTTTAAAAGATTTCTCTCCGGCTTAGACAAGTCCCAAACTTTATGCCAGTGGTCATGACTGTAACAGTATTTTCTAAGTTATGACTTGTGTATGGCTGAAGGAGAAATAGCTAATTGACTGAATATTGTGACAAAATAATTTTGATTTCTTATTTTATTCAAGTTGGGATGGAACAGCAATATTTGATAAATGAATCTTTCTTTGCCCCTTTTCAAATAAAGATGTGTAACTAAAAATTTACATTTTATAAGTGCAAAATCATGAAATATTCAATAATATGAAATATATTGTTTAAACTATTGAGACATGACAATGTATTATATTTTTAATAACTATTACTTATTATCCAAATATCTTTTTGGTAGAATTTGCAGAATAAATGCTTTTCATTGCTATATATATTTGATTGTTTTAGTAATATATTATGCAGTTTTGTTTCTTATATGTTTCTTTTTGGTTTTAGTTACTTGTCTTGGATTCTCTTCTTCAGTGGGCTGGTGTTGTAGATGAACTTGAATTTGCAAAGCGGCTTGTAGCTTGGAAGAAAAGTGGCATACCAGAGCTTGGTCAAAGAGAAAGCTATATGTTTTCAACTACAGTCAACTTGGTAAAGTTAGTTCTTCTAAATATTTGTAATGTTTTCGTGCTTAGTGTTTCTTTTCACTTTAAATTTCACTTTTCTTATTTATTGATAATAGCCAATTATGATGTTGAAAAGCAGGTGTAATTTTTTTGTATCACTTAGAGTATATAGACTTTTATTAATAATTTGATAAGATTTTTTTAATTGTTTAACTCAAGTAAAAAAGTTTTAATTTTTATGTAAGTACAAGCCATTATCGGTTTATTCAGACATTTTAAAACTTAATTTGCTGCTGTTATGCCAGCCTAAGTTTAGGAATATGATCATTTTTTGATGTTCCTAAACTTATGTTGTTAGTTATTATAAACTTTTGTTTCATCTGCATGAATTCAGAGTGCATGCAGTTTTTTTTTTTTTTTTTTTTTTTCCTGTCTTTTACCTCTTTCTATGAAGTAAAAAGGAAGTCTTGTAATCGCAAAAAAATTTGGGTATATTTCAACAGAAATATCCATTCCCAAACCCATCCGTATGATTTTTCTGTGTGACATCTGTACATATGAAAAGAATAAAGAGCTCTATTTTCTATAACATATTATGATAAAATGGATTCAAAAGGGATTTTTTTGTGATGTTTGTACGTATGTATATCTCATAATTCGAAAACTTTTAGCCGTAGAATGTTAAAATTTCGTATACAGGACTGCTATAACATCTATTTGTGCACCTCGCATTCTTATTGCAGTCAGCAGTACCAAACATGATATATATATATATATGTAAGATAAAAAATATATAAATTAAAATTATAATTTAAAAACATCTTAATTGCTCATTTTTAATTAGATGCTTCCTTTCTAGCAATAACTATCATGAAACTGCGTCATATCTGAAAACTAATTCCGCATTATGTCATCTTAAACTTCTGCATTGCATATAAGTTTTACCCAATCAGATCAATGAAAAATTTTACTATAAATACCATTGCAATCCAACTACCCTCCCTGTTTCTCTTCTTATGCTTGCTAGCAAAGGGACGTCTCTTGCTTGGCTGCTTCTGTCCAAAATGTAATACATCATCATCAAAATTGTGGGGTGCAATTGATCCCATTGTGATGTGCCATGCCCTAGGGCAATTAACAAGTAAAAAAGGGGTATCTGGATTATCAAATGATTTTGTTATTTTTCAAAAGTTCTCTGCATTTTCTACTATGTAATTAATATTTTAAGTGATTGTCTAAGCTCAATCCACTCGTGCCTGCAAAATAATATCTTCCATAGTCAAGGATCTAATAGTATCTTCCGTAGTCTCATATCAAATTACTGCAAGGAACTAAATTATATCATCAATCACTTATGTGTGTTTGTATATATATATATATAATTAATCACGTGATCTTACGTAACGCTTAATGCAGATATCTCTTGCCCAATCAAAGCAACTGTAAACCAAAACATTTTGACTCCTTCCCTTTTTCCTCTGCATTACTACTGCAACACTCTCTCTCCTTTTCCATACGCTTTTATTCTCGCAAGATTCTGCTGCAATCATCTATGTGCACTTCTATCACCATAGTATCAATAATGTAAATGTTCTGGAAATAGGCATGATTAAAGTGCCAAATAAATTGTGGCCACAAATGTGAACTTAAATAAAAAAGGAAATTAATCTGGCTTGACTTGTTCCTCTTTAATATGGATCAAGTATCTACGCTAAACAACATTACTTTGCTTCTACATCTCAATGTTCTTAAACCAGTGCTTCTAAAATTGTACTATCATTACATATAATACGTATATATATATATATAAACGGCACACACACACACACACACACATATATATATAGCATACCAAATGTTGTTATATGCTATATATATATATGTGTGTGTGTGTGTGTGTGTGTGTGTGCCGTTTATATATATATATACGTATTATATGTAATGATAGTACAATTTTAGAAGCACTGGTTTAAGAACATTGAGATGTAGAAGCAAAGCAATGTTGTTTAGCGTAGATACTTGATCCATATTAAAGAGGAACAAGTCAAGCCAGATTAATTTCCTTTTTTATTTAAGTTCACATTTGTGGCCACAATTTATTTGGCACTCTAATCGTGCCTATTTCCAGAACATTTACATTATTGATACTATGGTGATAGAAGTGCACATAGATGATTGCAGCAGAATCTTGCGAGAATAAAAGCATACGGAAAAGGAGAGAGAGTGTTGCAGTAGTAATGCAGAGGAAAAAGGGAAGGAGTCAAAATGTTTTGGTTTACAGTTGCTTTGATTGGGCAAGAGATATCTGCATTAAGCGTTACGTAAGATCACGTGATTAATTTGGGTGATGCAGTTTAGACTTTGGCTCTATTACCAGATAGAGAGAGGAAGTCTTGAAATTAAATAAAACTGAAAGAGGTTATAGCCAATTAAAATTAGAAGTTTGCTTTAATATTTTTTTATCTTGCACATTAATGTGCAAGATACATGCTGTTGTCCAAATTTATCTTTGCATACCCAAAAATAATGATATTCCATAGTAGTCAATTGATTTGGTGTTTGCATGGGATTTGTGTAAAACAATCTTAATTAGCATTATCCATTCAAAAGGGATTAAACAGTTCTTGATCAGCAAATCAAAGCATTAGGTCATCTGAAGGTGATTTAAATGCTTAGCGGAAAGCGAATATCTAAGTGAATTTCTGCAGTACAGTATTTGATTTCTGTGTGCAAGGACTCAAAATGGTTTGTTACAACTCCAAAATTGGCCATTTAGAAGCAGTGAGATGTATCAATATTTGGTACTATTTGGTTTCAAGGGCCGTAAAAAATCGCCAAACTATTGTTGATGCCAATGGTGCCAAAAATAATTGCGGCAAGAAAGGAAGTATAGTAAATAACTATCTAAGATTGATGTTTTAATTTAGATGAAAGGTTAATTTCATATAATACTTTTTATTATTATAATTTATATGAAAAAGGCTAAACATGACTGAATGGAAGCATAAGAGTAAATACCTATTTCATATCATTATTATAATTTATATAAAAATTGCTAAACATAACTGAGTGGATGCCTGCATCGCTATTTTGCTACTAACTTATCGCTAAAGCATAATTTCATCTCGTTGGTTGTTCAAACGTAATTTTCTATAATGAATGATGCCTTTTCTTTGATTAAAAATATTCTCGGTAAAGTGCAGAATCGCTCACTTCACTCATTTGCCACTTTTTACAAGGGTAAAAACAATTGGAATTATCAATTTTCTTTCACTTTTTAAGTGAAAATTGGTCGATGTTGTACACAGTTAAAGGTCAAGGGTGTGCGCAGTGCCATTTTTGTGCAATTCTAGGATTTTTTTTTTAGTGAAAATAGGTTGATGTGCACATGGATACCTTGTATGTGCAATTCTTAAAAGCTCGTCAAGCAGTGGGTGATTCTGCACTTTACCCAAAACTCTACTGCCGACTTTTCGTCATATGCAATTCCCAAATTGTTAAATCCATAGGATATCAACGGCCCTCAAAACCAAATAATACCCAATATTTCAAGACTGATAGTCTCTACACTATGAAAATTATTTCGGAACTGATGTCTTAAGACAAGGTCATAAATGGCTTGAATGAATAACTACTGCTTTTCAAGATCAATATTTGGCAGTAACTGCCTGTTGTAACAGAAAGTCTCCCATCCAGCAGTTAAATTCGTAGTTTGCAGCTGCCAATGGGACTGTTGTATCATAGAAAACTGCATACAGAAGGTTTAACAAAAAATGCATTTGTGCTTGAAAATAAAGGTTTATGTTTCACTGCCTTCACAACAAAAGTAGATTGCTTTAATTTCGACAGCAGATATATGACTGGCCAGAGATATCAGGCTAAAGTCTTAAAACCATATGTAATTCATGTCGGAGATGCATATGAGTCTGACTTTTTATTTATGGATATGTTCCTTCACATTAATCAAACCTCATTGATGGATTGTTGAACGTGAAAACATTGAACAGATATCCTGGCTAGCAAAAGCTTTTTATTTTATCTCATTAGAGAACTAGTGAGGCTATCTTGGGAAAGCACCTGCATGCAGACATCCTCATTCTAGAGATGTACATATCCTAAAACAGTAGTCTCAAATTGGCTGCTCCCAAAGTAGTTTTATGTAGTCTGCAAAGGCATTTCAATTATGTATTTGTTGTAAGTACAGTGTTGTAAAAGATTTCAAGATTTTAGTTATTTGAAGTTTATATTATTTTCATTTCCATTAAAAATAACATGGATAATGCACCAGAAAACCTGTAAATGAAGCTAATTAATTTACAAAGCAATATGAATCTTACTCAAAGATTTAAAGATACAGATTTTATTAATTTTTAGTCATATACTTATCAAAAAAATAAATACGCTCAGTTATAAATTTTAGTGCATAATTACTTTGTTTAGGAGTACATTTATATATGAGCAGCTTATTTTCACAGTTGAAAATTAATAAGAAACGTTCTGATCGACCGAAGAGCATCTATAATCCATGATGAAGATAATTTTTAATCTCTGTCCGAGGCTACAGTTTTTATCAAAATAAAAAAGCCACCAAGTATCGAGCTCTCTCTCTATATATATATAATCTATATACTATATACATTAAAGAAAATTTTAAAAAGAGAAAGAGACTAGGCTATTCCTAATTATTCTCAGGTTAACTTAGAAAATTTTCATAATTTGTTTATTTTTAGTTAAGTAAATTATTTAATGATTATTTGAACATATTAGAATTATTTGAAAGAAATGTCAGTCTAAGAAATTAACATCTAGCTATCAGTATGTTTATTTTCAAAGTGTAACCGTCAAAAGTACCTTACTACAGGCACAAACTTGAGATTTCAGATAGAAAATAAATATAGATTTCAATTTTTCCCCCAACATTATTATTATTTATGTATGTTTTGATAAATATTTAGTAACTGAAATTGAAAATTTATTTAAAATATTTTTTATTTTATTAAGAAAAATATATAATATATGTAATTCATGTTAAATTGTATATGTCATAAAATATATAATTTTTTATTTTATTAAAAATTTTCAATTTATTAAAAAGTAAAATTCTGACCCATCAGTTGTTTTTGGATCATGCATTCAGCCGGCATGCAATTTGAATTTGGGACCTCTGCCGGTACTTTTCCGTTTTGCCGGCGCAGTCGATAAAGTCGCCAATAATGCTACAACTGATGTCAAACAGAATATCCTCGCTGGTAGCCTTTTAAGCCTCATTTTCAAAACAAGTAGCAGCCATTTCTTATCAGATTGATTGTTTCTTTCAATACTGACATACAATTACATAGAATTTTTACCACATAGTTCAATTTTATGCCTAAGGCCATTCGCGGTAATTAAGTCAATTAGGATGCAATCACACCACTCACTCGAAAGAGAAAATATAGAAAAGGCAAAGTCAAGCGTTAAATTCATCAATTCTAATGAGAATGCACTAGTGAAGTAAAACACTGCCGTTTTACATAATTTCTGAGTAAGCTATTCATACGAATTGAAATAATTCTTGCAATTACACTTGTATCCCAAATTAAGATTTAACTTGAAATTAATGTAGATAATTACTGAGAGAATTAGGATAATTACTGAGAGAATTAGATTTTTGTAGCGTAGTTTACGTGAGATGAGATTACTTGGGGTCACGTCATATGAACAGGCGAATCGGGATGTTGAACCATGAAAGAATAGTAAATTTTTAAATTAATGTCCTTTTTTAAAAATTTATTGCCTTTATTTATTGGTTTTTTACAAAATTTTGAACCATATTAAAATGTTTATGTTATTTTCTTCAAAGTAAAAAATTCTAAGAACTAACATTTGTTAAAATTTTTTATGTGTTTACTGTATGTTGTCACCAATAAAGTCTGCTCGGTGAGATTTGCGCCGGCGAAATGGAAAAATACCCCTCTGGCCTAAAAGACTGCAGTGCTAGAAGAGTGGAACTTAATAATTCCCAAAACTGAGGTTAACAATATTATTGCTACAGCATTATTGCAAGTGCAAAAACACATTGTAATATATATATCAAGGGAGATCATGTTCCATATTAATTTATATCTTGAGTTATTCTCCCCCCAAAACTCTCCTTTAACATAGTATTATGATTTTTATTTTGTCATACTGCAGTTTTATATCACTGACCTGACAGTGATATTATTTTTTTTTCTTTCTATTTTATGATGCTATGTATTATTCTACACAAATTTATAAAATTACAGCTCACAGTTTCTGAGAAATCTGTGAATTCATGTATGTAAAAATAATTTTGGACAGAAGTGTATATTATAAATTTTGCTACCGTCCATTATTAACAATTTTTGTCCATTTCTTTTATCCTTCTTGATTGTTTAATGTTTACTGAACTTCTGTTGATGATCCTCAGTATTTTTATTATCTTTAAAAACAGTTATTTTCAGGTGTCTTACTGTATTTCCTGTAATTTCATTTGTACATTTTAAATTATAAACTAGAATCATCATTATTTTTTATGATTTTTCATATATTTAAATAAATAACTATTTTCATCTCTCATGTAAATATGCTATAAAAAGAAATTAAATGTTGTTATATTAAAGTAGATGCTTTATATTTATTTTGATTTTTATTAATTTTTTTAGCCCAAAGGGCGTTAGCCCAGAAGGGCTATTAATTTCATTTTGGCATTTTGCATTGAAAACTTTAAATGTCGATTCACTTTTCACACTGTTGCCACCAAATATTACAGTCCTGTATTATATTTCAAGAAATTAAATAATGAAGAATCTGCATAAATGTATGTATGCTTCTTGCACTGTGATAAAATGATGGTACCTGAGGGGGGGGGGGGGGGGGGTGGGGGGGGGGGGGGGTGGGGGGGTGAATGGGGGGGGTGGGGGTTTGGGGGCCGGGGGGGTGGGGGAATATGAACTGACTGACAAAGTTTGGAATTTCTTTTATTATCTATTTCATATTTTGTAAAACTTAAATGAATTTTTGATTAACAAGCTCAGTGATTTCAAAGTGAGCAATGGCAACACTGTAACGGGGGGGGGGGGCAGTTTTATCTCTTGCGTGCGACACTGTGTATCGGAAATTCTAAAGATATGTTCATTTTAAAATTATTTTGAGATATTGCTGTTGAACTTAATTTTATGGTAAATGCGAAGAAATAATATTTAATATTTTTGTTTGTTTGTTTTCACTCAGATATATGTAATGAGTCTGGATTAAAGTATCAAAGAATATATTTTATTCAAACTTAGGTGTTGCAAGCTGACAATTACAGCCAAAATCCTCACCAAGTAGCTCAGGATATTCATAAAAATGATGGTATGGGACAAGCAAATGGAAGCAGTCACATGATAAAATCACCTCTATTTGTTGATAGTGGGTCTTTGCCTCGGTCTCTGGTTTTAGGTGAGAAATTACTTATCTGTTTGATTTTCATCTTGTAAGATATGCTGTCTGTATACATGAAATTTAATTATTCTAATTGTTTCAAACATCTTTATTGTGTTCTTACAAATTTATGAACATAACTGAAGTAACATAACTGTTAACGTTTAATAAAAGCACGTTCCAAAGTGTAAGTATTTGATAAACTGTTTATAGAAATTATTTATAGCTTTAAAGCAAGCTATATTATAGTAAACTTCAAAGTAATAGTATATGGTTTTATTGTACTAGCTTGTTAAGTTAATGTCATGGGTGCATTCTAAAATAATGATTTTTTTCCCTTTGAAAGCAATAAATTCTAATTAGTAAGTATTTTATTCTTTTTGTTTTGCTGCTGTGTCTAAAAAAACTGTGATATATATGATTTTTTTTCAATAGATTTCTTGTTAATTTTTTGAAGTTTTTTATGTATCATAATCTTGAATTACAATATGTTGTATAACTAACTTTTTATGTTACTTTATCCTGTATTTCATATGATCATTATCTATGTTCATTTCAGAAAAAAGTCTAAAATATTTTGAAAATTTAAAAACTTACAATTAACATATATTAATAAATATGAGTTATATTAGTATTTGGAAATGTATGTGAATATTTCTTAAGAGAGCTTTATCAACAAGAGATAAACTTAAGAGAGCCTTAAAAATGGCATCAGTAATTCTTGGAAAGCCTTTATTAAACTTCAGTTTCTCTTCATATGATATATAAACCTTAAAATAAGACACAGACAGAATTTCAAAGAGACCTAGTATTGAATTTTCATAGTTTGATTTTAAGAGTAGTGCCTTCCAAATATTTTAATATCACTGTGTCTATTTTTTAAAATGCCAGTTTTTGGCAAACAGCATGCATATCAATAATCATATTTGAATCATCAAATTAAACTGGTCATTTGTGATCAACAGGCTCAGTTTTTAGAATTGTTTAGTATATATAAGTTGAAAAGGTATATTTTAAAGTAATGTAGGATAATTTAACAACATAAGTCAAACAACAAAAATCAGCGTTATGTTTTCAGATTTTCACAGGACTAGTTTCGATTGTTTTACCGAACCATCATCCTCGGCTGCAACAGCACTAATGAGCGAGATAAGATATAATGATTAGATAAGATAAGAAAGCCTGGACAGGAGATAAGCTACTGGCACCATCTGTTGATGAAACCAGAACTAAAACATAATTTCTTTAAAGGCTGAAAGCAAAGATGGATTGGAATTAGGGTCATTAACTAGAACATAAAGATTTTTTTGAATGTGAAATGCCTCTAGAAAATCCAGTTCACAAATGGAAGATGTTTTTTGAATAATTTTGGCAGCAGAGAAACTTTTGTTTCCCTTTTTTCTAACATATGCCTCATGTTCTTAATGTGAAATTTTAAGGCTCTTTTAGTTTGGCAAATGTAAATTAAACCACACTGGTAAGGAATCCTGTAATACCCCAGGAATTCATATCCGGAATGGGTCCTTGAGTATGGAACTCGAAATTTTTATTGATGGAAATATCGACCGATTTCAAAAAATGCGCCACGTGAAACTTTTAAAGCTACTGGAACAAAGGTAAACAGCAGAGTTGATGTGCAGTATTTAACAGCACAGTAAACAGCAAGTAGCTCCCTGTCATATGTGCTGTATTTCCTTTCTGCAGTAGTAAGTTTTCTGGAGAAGAATGCCATTGGGGAAAGTCCTTTAGTGGTATGGGCTTGAAGCACTGCTCCTATGGCCGTGTCACATGCATCTACCATTATAGAGAGCTGATCACTAGGTGAGTGATAAGAAAGTGTGGCTGCATTTGCCAGATCGTGTTTGCATTGCACGAATGCTGCAGATGCAGATTCAGTCCAAGGGACAGCTCGTTGATCGTTTTTTTTTTTTTTTTTTTTGCTATTCTTCAGAAACTCATGTAGGCAGGCTTGTGTTTTTGCGGCATTTGGCAGAAAGCGTCGGTAGAAATTTAACATTGCTAGAAAACGCTTCAGTTCAGAGATGGTTTTGGGCTGAGGTAGGTCGTTAATTGCTTTGACTCTTTCCGGTAAAGGTTTGAACTCCATTCTGGGTGATAAGACAATCCAAGAAAGGAAACTGAGGGTTGACCAAGTACACATTTGGATGGATTTAGTTTTAATCCATGATCTTTAAGGCGAGTGAAAATCTGACGCAGATGTTTAAAATGTTCTTCCGCATCTGTAGATGCAACCAGGATATCATCAAAATATGGGATGCAGAAATCGAGACCAGACAGTACTTGGTGTATGAAACGCTGAAATGTTGGCCAGCATTGCGAAGGCCAAATGGCATATATAAGTACTCAAATAGACCAAATGGTGTAGTCACTGCGGTCTTGGGCACATCTTCAGCATGCACTGGGATCTGATGATATGCTCTGGCAAGATCGAGGGTAGAAAATATGTTTGTTCCATGAAAAAGATGGGTACAGTCTTGGATATGTGGGACTGGATATCTGTCAGGGACTGTGACGGCATTAAGTCGACGATAATCTCCACAAGGCCGCCAGTCACCATTAGACTTTTTTAACCATGTGAAGTGGACTGGCCCATGGACTTTTAGATGGGCGAATGGTTCCCTGTGCTAGCATGAATTCAAATTCTTTGCGAGCAGCTTTTAGCATCTCTGGAGAAAGACGACGAGGCTTGGAAAATACAGGTGGGCCATGTGTTTCAATGTGATGATACACTTCTGGCTGATGAGTATGCTGCCCTGATTTGGATGGGTTTAAAATGTCAGGGAATTCTGCTAATAACCGATGAAACACTTATGTTGGTAGGTACGTTCGATATGTGAGAAGCTTGGCCCTGTGATGTCAGCTGAGTTGTAGCATCAATTAAGCAATTATTCTTGACATCCACTAGAAGGTGGAAATGTGTCAAGAAGTCGACACCAATAATTGCTTGAGTTACATCCGCAATATAAAAGGCCAGTTGAAAGTCTGGCGCAAGTTTAAATCAAGTGTCAATAGTTTGGTGCCGTAAGTTGCAATTTGGGTACCATTGACTGCATACAGTACAAGTTTATTAAGTTGGTGAGCATTTGTTTTAGTTCTCGGGAGCACTGATATGTCAGCTCCAGTATCTACTAGAAAACATAACTGAGTTGAACGATCAGCCAGTACTATTCTGTCGATGTGGCGGACATTCTGTTGGCCAGCAGAAGACCGCCCATTTAGTTTCCCGCTTGTACAAAAGTGCATGGAGGGGCACACTTGCGAGCTTGAGAGCCAAAATTCATATGATAAAAACATATGCCACTTGTGGGTTCTTTGTACTGCTGCGTTCGAGTATTGTGACGAGATTGACTCCTGCTTCGGGCACGAAATTTATTACGTGGGCCCTGATTTGATCGATTGTATCTCCGTCCGAAGCATGAAGACTTGTAGAGAGTTCAGATACTTTTTTGGTCAATTCAGCCACTTGTTGTTCGAGGGATGAACTGGAAGGTGCAGCATTAGCAGCACTGACATAAGCTGGAGTAACAAGTTCATTAATTTTGTCAGCCATTGCTGCTAAACGGGTTAGATCTTCATTGGTAGCAGCAAGAATTATTTGTATGTTATTAGGGAGACGCGAAAGCCATAATGACTTCAACAAGTCATCACTAAAATGGCTTCCTGCCAGATCACGCATTCATTCGTGACAGCAAGTATGAAGGTCGCTGATCTCCAAGTTCAAGTCCTTGTAGTAAAGTACGTATTTTTGAAGATTCACTTTCTGAATAGATTTCAATGAGCCGCTGTTTCAGTTTGGAGTATTTATCACAATCAGGTGGTTTGAGAATTAAGTCATGCACTGAATTCAGAATATCAGACTCAATTGCTGCAACTACATGGTTGAATTTTGTAGAATCCTCACTAATGCGAGCGATAGAAAATTGTGCTTCGATCTGAGCGAACCACAATGAAGGATTATTTTTCCAGAAAGGCGGTGGCTTCACCGCAACGCGTGTGATTTGTGGCTCTGGTGGAATATCGTCGGGCATACTGATAGATAATTTTCACTTTAATTAATAAACACTTATCAGCACAAATATTGTAGCATGAGGATACACTATTGATATTTTACCATGATAACAATAAATATTTTAACCATGCAGAAAAAATTTACGTAACGATACACACACAAATAATACAGGGTCAGCAATTACACACACAAATAATATTTTACCGAAATGCATTTGAAAAGAAACCCTTATTTGAGAAAAAAAAAATGATGCGTTCATTTTGTATTGCGCACACACAAAATCACCACTTCACACTGCTAAGGCACTTTCGAAGGAAAAGGAAATCACTCCTGTAGCACATGGGGAAAAAATTCACTACTTTCGAACACTGAGGGAAGAATTTTGCCGTAGCACGTTGCACAAAAATTACTGATGTAGCACATTTAGCGCGAAAATCACTGTTGTATCACATTTGTCACAAAAGTTGAATGATCGAAGAATTATTGCACGACTGGCGAAGTCAGCGGAACGGAACAGATCACATTGATGATTTGCTGAAGCTCCTTGCGATGATATGCACGACTTTGAAAAAAAACAAGCAATATATATCAATACTTCTAGAAATAATTGAAGGGGTACGTTGTAGCATACGTTTAATGTCCATATTCGTTGTTATTTTTAGTCAGTTCTTCAGAATGCCTTGGATGCACGTGGCTTAGGGTCGTTGAAAATCCATTGTCAGTAGCGTGCTCAGTCAAAAGGTCACCACTTTTGGTGGTCGTGTGTGCTTAATGCATGATATAATTAAAGAAAATAAGAGTAGACAATCTCCTATAACAAAAGAATATATTAAGTACTAAATTACAATTTAAATTACATTGCAGAGATCAACACAGAGCTCGGAACACAGTTCATGCTACCGTTCGCGTACAGTTGTGTGACGAGAAGTCTGAGTGAGTAAAGATGTCGCTTTGCTGCTGCTCCGATTAAGAACTGGATTTTACACGT